ATCCAAAGAGTAAGAAACCTCAGGTCCACACATCCCAGCAACTACACTCTTGGGAAGTCCTTCTGGAAGTCTGACTTAAATCTGTTCTGCTGCGTCAAACTCCAGTTGCCTCCTGTTTTTCAGGGAGGGCAGTGAGAAAGGTGACTTCAGGGACTTCAAGAAGTGGGTCACGTCACTGGGGACCTGGCCTTTCCCACGGAGCAGGCAGCTGAACAATAGGAGATAAATGCGTGTGAAAACATTCCTGTTACTATATATATCAACTTCCCGAGAGGATGGGAGTGCTGACAGGGATCCCGTGGCCCTCACCCTGGAGGCCATAGTCTTGTGGCTCAGACAAGCTGGGCACTCAGAGCAGCAGAACAGGCTGTTCCTGCAGTCCTGGGGGCTAGGCAGAGGGGGCGGGAGGCCAGCATGGAAGGGGGCGACATTGCCTTCTCCCAACCAAAGCTGCCAAGTTCAAGCTGGTGTATTTGCGTGTTATTTTGCATATATTTGCATACCACTTTCTAGAAGGGGCCCACTTTCTTCAACCACTGCTTCCACCCTATTTCTCTGTTTGGTCACTGCGCACCCTGTTCTCAAGCAAAGGGGGCTCCTTGGCAGGTGGTGGTTGGGGACACTGGGAGAGACCAAGAGGTTGCAAATTTACAATGGCATCCTAGACACCCACACACCTCAGCGGCAGAAGGCTCTGTCAATTCCCTTGCTCCTCTCCTGCTCCACCTTAGCCCGGTCCTCCTCCCCACCCTTGTACTTCATGCTGAGGTCAGTCAGAACTCCTACAGTCCTCGCATTCTTACTCTCACCTTAAGGTCTTTGCATATGGCATAGCCTCTTCCTGGAGCCATCCAGTTCTTCTGCCCTAAGAACAGTGACGCTTCCTTCCATGGCCAGCCCCAATGGCCCCTCCTCTTAAATTCCTTCCCCTGACACCAGCAGAGGTGGGGAAGCCACTGGGCTTCCCTCCATGTGGTCACTGGCTCTGTCTGTCTCTCTGCAGGCTGCTGTGTTCTGCTGGGCAGCATAGAGGGCCCACCAAGCCTAGCTGATGAATGCATGAACAAACAAATGAATCCTGACCCCCCCTCCCCTGTCTCTCTCAGCCCCCAAAGGTGCCCACCAGTCTCCCTCTCCCTGGATGACTTCACTCATCCTCGGGAGTGTCAGGGGTGGATACTGCCTCTGCCTCCAATTCCCCCTCCAGTGCTAGGAGACTTCTCTCCTCATCCTCACAGCCCACTCTCATCAAGCCAGGAGATGGCTGGCAGGAAGTTCTTCCTGTTGTCTATCCTCACTCCTTTTTCTGAACACGCCTGCTTCTTTATCATTCTTTTTGGAGAGGAGTCAGGGCTTTCTGCCACCTCAGTTTCACAGTCTGTAGCTGGAGTAAAGGCTGCTCTTTTCTCCCCAGTCTGTCCAGGATATGTTCACCCCACTCCTGGAGTATTATGCCTCAGACTGGCCCCCCCTTAAGAGGAAGGACGGTGACACAGGGTGGAGAAAGGACATAAAGCAAGGCCCTGTAGCCCGCAGTAGCCCCACAGGGAGGCCCAGGGAAGAAACAACCACCACAAGGGAGGGGCTGCCCAGGAGGGAAGAGATGAGCGTTCTGTCTCTGGGGGTGTGCAAGCAGAGGGCTGGCCAGAACTGGGGGCAGGATGCAGAGAGGAGTAAAGAAACTTCTAGAAGGTGGCCCAGATGCTCTCTCACTCAGAGGCTGCACTGAGCTCCAGTGCCCAGCCTGTGCTGGGAGTGGGGTGGGGAAGAAAGAGGAGGTGGGCCCTGACTTTGAGGAACTCCTTGGCCGGCTAGGTAAGGGATTCACACACAGAGGACATCGCAGGGGGAGGCCAAGTCTGAGCAACACTCTCGATCCTGTACCATGATGTAGGGACCCAGGGGAGAGATTTTAGGACGGCATATGGGATCAGAGGGAGGAGGGAATCAAGGAGGGCTTCCTAGAGGAGGTTTCCTAGTCAAAATTCTTTCCCCAGCTCCTAATCCTGTGAGAAAAAGTCCAAGCCCCTTATCCTGGCATTTGAGATCCTACAGAATCTGGCCCCTTCTGCCCTGTCTTCCTTTTCTCAGCACCCTTTCACATTCCTGTCATCCCAAACTCTTTCTGTTCCCTGAATATGCCATGTTTTCTCACACCAACTCACCTTTACACCCTGTTCCCTCTACTATTCCCTGCCTGGGCAGCTCCTACGTATCTTTCAGACCCAGCTCATGTATCTCTTCCTCTGAAGCCCTGGCTTGCTGTGGAGCCTCCCCTGGGCTTCCACAGTTCCTGGAGCTTCCCTCTGCACAGCACTGCTCATACTGTGGGGTTGTGGGTTTCCACTTCTACCTCCCTCATCAGACTGAGCAATCCTGAGAGCAGGGTCTGAATCAGTGTCCTTCTCTGTGTCCCTGGCATCGGGGAGTCCCTGTTGAATGAATGAATGCAAGAATGGAACCATGCTGAGCAGGTAGATTATATAGGCCCAAGTGGCAGAAGCCTGGGGAGTACAGGCCTAGCCTGACAGCAGCACAGCTGAGGGTGAGACTCCTAGTCCATTAAGACTGAAGGGGCACTGCCGGAGCTCTGCCTCCCCTCCCATTTGGCTAGATCCCAGCCAAGCCATCAGCAGTCCCTGGGGACAGGAGGCTGGAGTGGGAAGCAGGAACAGTGGCAGGAGCTGCTTGGTGGGCAGGGGGAAGAGGGGGTACAAGGAGCAGAAAGATGGTTAACCCTCACTGAGCTGACCCAGAGCCCCTGCACCCTGCCCAGGAGGGCTGATCCCCAGCAGACAGCTCAGCCAACCAAGAGGTCTTGGGCAGCATCTGAAGAAGGAGACTGAAGCTCAGATCTGATGGAGTAGGTTCAGCCCCAGCCTTGCAGTCGGAGTATATGTGTGTGTGTGTGTGTGACAAAGCCAGAGCCTGTTTCCCTGTATGAACAGTAGGTGGTTCCATGATCTCTGACCCTCTGTACCCTACAAGTATCTCTTCCACTACCTTGGTCCAACATCCAGTTGCCTGAGCCTTCCAAGAGGTTTTCCCTCCTGACATCCTGACTCTCTAAGGTCCCTCCACTGTACCTCCTACCCTAGTCAAAGCCTGAGACACCTCAGTGCTCCTTTCCCCACCCTCTTCTATCAAGTCTTTCCCAAGCCCTCAGACTTCTCCCTTCAGGAAGCCCCTGGTCTCATACAACCTTGGCCCATTCCAGCCTGGGCCTCACTGATCCCCACAGTGACCTGACCTCCACACTGGACTCCTGACTCCCACCTTTTCCTTCCAGTTCAACTTTGACAGTGCCACTGAGGCAGCTTTCTAAAACGCAAATCTGATCATATCCCTCCCCATCATAAAACCTCCCCAGGCTCCCCAGGTTCCTCAGGATAAAGCCCAAGAGGCCTGGAATTCAAAGCCCTGCAGGATGTGGTTCCTGCCAGCCCCTTCAGCCTCTTCTCACTGCTGTCTTTCACACAACCTCCTCTCTGTTCCAGGCACAAGACCAATTCCAATCCAGGGCCTTTGCTTATGGTATTACCACACCCCCCACCTGTTAGCTTGATCCTGATCTTTACTGCTTAATTATACTCAAGCTATTTTATGTCTGTGAAGCTTAGAAGGCCCCAGAGGGTAGAGTCCTTACTGCCTGTTTCTTTTCTGTATCTCCCTACAGGATGTAGAATGATTTGTCCTGGGCTCATGGGGGTAGTCACACATTCAGCCGCCCCCTCCCAGCTGTGTCCTCAACCACCAGGGGAAGGAAACAGCCACCCACACACACACAGATGAACACGCATGTACAGACATACACACGCATGCACACCAGCCACACAAGCACCAGTATACACACTCATGCTATTGCACACTAGCACCCAAACCAGAACACTTATGCTAACATATACATCCCAACACACACACACACTAACAAATATACACACAAACATAAATGCTCACGGAATCAATCAAACAACATACATATTGAGACACTCTATTTTACAGACACAGCACATTATTAACATGTATGACAACAAACTCAACACACGCACACATCTACACACATACATGCACCAACCTGCACTCATACATGTACAGATAAACTCTCACAGCCACACAAGGATGCTCACATACCCTGAGAGGTTGATGCACATTTAACCATCGGGGACCCCAAAACTCTACAGGCCCCCTTGTGCCACACGTGTCCTCACATACCTCACTTGTGTACACACATACACCCTCACACAGCCTGGCACAAACATGCACCTCCACTAACCTGGAAACACACACACACGCACACACGCACACACACCATGTCACCTGCCTGCACCTCGGCAGCCCTCAGATGGTGGAGGGGCACCTCTGTGGAACCCCCTTCACTCATCTGCACGTGCACACACACACCCGCACGTGGGTGCACATGAGGCTGGCACACACAGGCCTCATTCCAACTAGGTCCATAGCTCCCTCTATCCTATCTTGGGACAGATGCTTTGGGGTAAAGTTGCTTACAGTGACAGCCCTGCACCCCAACTCCATGGGAAAGGTGGTTGCCTCAGATCCGTCATTTTCTCTCTCTCTCTCTCTCAAACACACACACACACACACACACACACACACACTTTCCGGGACATTGTCCTTCTCCAGGGTCCTGAAGCACCCTATCTCAAACCCCAAAGCTCTTAGAACTCCCTGGCAGACCTCCCCCACCCCCATGCCCTGAAGGGATGGCTCAGGTTCATCACCAAGTCCTCCCCCAGCCAGCAGCCCCTCTCTGGGACTCCAGCCTCATTGCCCCCTAGGTTAGTGCCAGGCACCTCCACCCTGCACAGAGTCTCCCAGCAGGCTGCAGTCTGGGAACCCAGCGCCCAGGACCAAAATCGATCCTCCCACGTGGCTCAGCTAAACGCCAAGCGCAGCTCCTTGGAGGGACTCCCAGGACCCTGTCCGTAGTGCTTCCTGCAGCCGCCCAACCCGGACGCCAGCCCCTCACTAGTACTCACGGCTCAGCCGGTCGCGCTGCCGGGTACTGCTGGCTCCTGCAGAGGATGGAGTGGCCGCACGCCTGCCCCATCGCTCCTCATCGTCTGCCTCCCCTGCCGGACTAAGGTGGCACCTCGCCCTGTCCACCCTGCCCGGTGTCCCAGGCCAGGCAGCTGGCCTGGCAGTCAAAGGAGCCAAGAGCAGCGGCTTGCCCCTCACTCAGCCTGAACTCAACACCCCTACCCAGCTTTGCTGCCCCAGCTGCTCCTGCCTCTCCTGCTGCCTCTGCTGGCTGGCGCTGGGAGGAGAAGGTTGGAGCAGGTCTGATAATGCAGGAGGGGGAGGGACGAAGGAGGAGGAACAGAGAGAGGCCCAGACAGAGAGATGGAGAGGGAGGGGTAGAGAAAGACTCTAACTGGTAGAGAGGAAAAGAAAGGCTCACACACAGAGGGAGAGACTAAGAGAAACAGAGACTGGGAGGGGAAGAGAAACACTCAGACATGAAGAAAGAGAGGGGAGAGGGATCGGAGCCTCAGAGACATCAAGATGGAAATACAGAAATCAGAGAGGCACGTGGGAAAAACACACACACACAGAGGAACAAAGACAAAAAAGAAAAAACAGAAGCAGGGAAACGGAGAAAAAGAGGAGAGGCTGGTGGTGTCCAGAGAGAGGTGTGAGGATGAGGGGCTTACAATCCTCCATGGGCTGGGCTGGGAGATGGAGACCCAAGGGGCAGGTGGATGGGACCCAGGCCTTCTGCTATCCCATCAAGTCTGAGAGGGCCAGGGCCCCAGGTGGAGCTAGCTGCCACCTCCTCTGGGCTCCCTCACTTGCTTTGTATCCTGTACTAGGATCCATCCTCAGCATGGAGTTGGGCACACAGGCAGCTCAGGGAGCTTTTTGCTCATGGCCATTGGACTCGGAGACTTGTTATGGAGCCCAGCTCTTGATGACTCTGCTTGGCTGGGACACTGTGGAAGATGGTGCCTGAGTATGGACTTCCACTAGGAGTTGTGGACAGCTGGGTCACAGCCCACACCACATGGCTTTCACTGCCCATAGGCTATAGGTATGGGGAAAGGCCTGCCACATCTCTGGCCTGTCCTAAGAGGACTTCTCAAGATGAAGCCTTAACCCAATGAAATGGGGGCATTTTAGGCAGTGGGACGGGTAGGGCGCAGTTTCAGCACAGCTCTTGTTGTATGTAGGATAAAAAGCTCCACACCTTGAGGCAGAAGGTGGAGGTTAAAGTCTGGATCCACCACTAACTTGCTCATTCATCTATTCATTTATTCATGAACACCTACAATGAGCCAACCCCATCAGATGTGGCTCAGACTGTCCGTGCCTTGAAGAAGCACCCAGGCTACAGGGCGGGAGGTGGGAGGGAGGCGGGGACTTACAGGCTGTGACAGTGGGAGGCACAGTGAGCGGCTGTGGAGCCCAGAGGGGGCTCCAGGCCCAGCCAAGGCACTGGCAAGCATTCCCAGAAGAGGGGATCTGAGCTGAGTCTTCAAAAGCAAGGAAGGGGCCCCAGAACAATCAGATATATTCTAGGCTAGAAAAGCTACATGGAACCCTCACCAGTAACCCTACCTCTCCAGGCTGTGAGTGGAACAGACTACCCCACACAGCAGGCTCCAGGCAGAGGAGCCCATGAGACCCAGTGGAAACCTGGACTATGCTGACTAGCAGGAGGGTGCACACTGAACGGAGGGAGTGGACAGGAATGACCAAGCTTGTGGAGTAAGCCTGTCCAGGCTGAGTGCTACACTAAGCAGTTATTTTGTGGCTTGGGAAGTGTCAGGAAAGAAAACAAGAAAATGTGAGGGAGATTTTGCTTCCCATTGTGGCTCCAGAGGGTAGAATTTCAGATCTCTGAAATCTTTGGGAAAAATGTTCTTTCTCTTGAAGGGAATGAGGCCCAGGCTGGTCCTAAACCAGCCGAGTCAGCCCAGAACCTGTCTTGCCTCTCAGACTGACACATCGCTGGGGCCTCTATGTTCCATCCCTGCTGGGGGGGCAGGCATTCTCTGGGCTCACAGAGCCAAGGTCTTGGACCATGCCCAGTGGTGGTCTCTCACAGCTCCCCTTTACCCTCTGAGAGCCCACTCATGGGCCTGAGCAGCCTGGCCATAAGAAGCTGAGTCAGAGGCTCACCCTCCCCCAACACACACACACTACAGTTCCAAGGAGGGCCCCTCTTGGGCAAGGGTGGGTGCAGGTGTGATGAGGCATCACCTGTCCCTCAGCCTCCTTTCTGTCCTCTCACTCTGGAAATGATGGTGGTGGCCTCATCCTCAGAAACCTCCTGAGAATATGCTCGAGAAAGTTAGGTGGGAGGAAGGGTATCCTCCCCATCCCACTGCCACACCAGACTCCACAGTTGCCCCAGAAGTAGGGAGTCTGCAGGGACGAAGTGCAAGCTCCAGGACTTAGCAGTTCTAATGGGTCCACCAGGACTTAAGGCCAGTGGAAGTTCACACCAGCTCTGCCGCATGTCTTAGGCAAGTTATTTCACCTCTCTGAATCCCACTTTAGTTTTTTCATCTGAAAGATGAGTCATAAATTCCAAGCTGGAAGGGTTGTAAGGTTTGGGAGATGTCTGTAAAACTCTCAGTAAATAGCGCGCCCCTCTCCCCACCTCCACCGAAGAGGTTGGACTCATGGGGTTGAGGGCCTAGCAGTCCTAAATTTGGGGTAAGAGTTCCTATAGGGCAGTGCTGGGACGGGGAGGGGCAGAAAGAGAAGAGGCCTAAAGGCAGTCCAAGCCTGCTTTTCCCTGCTACACCTCCAACAAGTGGGCACGCCCAGTTGGTGGAGGAGCCGAAGGTCCTTTGCTCTTCTCGGCGAAGACCCGCCCCCGCCGCAGGCTCCGCCCCTGGCGTGGGCCGCTCTCCAGGGTGCTGAGCCCAGCCGCCGCGCTCACAAGCCCTGGCATGCCGCCCCGCCGCCCATCAGCTGCTGTTGTTGTTGGTTGCCTTAGAGTTGATTAAAACTCATGGCGACCCCGTATGTGCAGAGCAGAACTCCTCCATAGGGTTTTCAAGGCTGTGACCTTTCAAGATCGCCAGGCCTGTCTCCAAGGAGCCTCTAGATGGATTAGAACAGCCAACCTTTTTGTTAGTAGTCAAGCACTTAACCGTTTGCGCCACCCAGGGACTCCGCCCATCGGCAGACACCGTTTCTTTGCTAGTTGGGGAGTTGCAGGCGGGTGAGAAAAGGCAAGATGCTCCTAGAAGGCTGGGTGGCTGCCCAAAGTGATGGGAGGATGCAGCCTTGAGAACCCGGCTCCGCCCTGCCTTAACCGCCTCGCGAGGACTGCAGGCTTCACGGGCCCCAGCTGTCTCCTTATTGCCAAAGGGGGCAGCCTCTGCTCAGCGCCCTCCCCCGCCCCTCCTGTGCAGCTGTTTCCCTCCCACCTTCCAGACGGCCCCTCCTCTGTCTCCCTCACTGGCTCATCCAATCCTCGCCCCCACAACATGGATGCTCCTCACAGGAGCATCAAGCTCTCGTCACTCCTCATTTTCCACCCCACCCACCCCCTCAGAGGATGGAGCCATCCTCCAACATCCCAACAACTCTGAGTTCCCCCTGCGGCCCAACGTCTCTCTGGAGCTCCAGATGTCTAGTACTGGCTGCCTCCTGGACATCTTCCCTGGGGGCATCCCTTAGGCCCCTCACACAAAAATATTCAACATACAGCACACTTTCCAAAATTTCCTGTCTTTATCAAAGGCATCAGGAAACTTCTAATGCCCGGGCCGGAAACCTCAAAGTCACTTTGCCTCTTCCCCCTCTTCCATCTCCTGTGTCGTATCTGTCACAAAGGCCTGGCAATTCTCCTCTGCAATTCCCTCACACCTGTCCCCTCCCTCCACCCCCCATGCCCCAGCTTCCTTCCTCCTCCCTTGTTCATTCCCAAAACACCTCTCCCAGTTCACCCTGTCTATCCCACCTCTACCCTGCACCTACAGCCAGCTTTCTAAGACATGTATCTGCTCATGTAACTCCTCAACCCCCTTGCATGGCTCCCCAGTGCCCTCAGGATAAAGGCAAGGCTCTTCAGCTTGGCATTTGAGGTCATTCACGATCTGGCCTGACTGGCCTCTCTCCAGCTTCTGCTCCAGATGAGGCAGCATCTGGTCCCTAACCACATGTAAGTCCTTTCCTCTTCCTCAGCATTGTGCAGGCTGTTTCTTCTCCCAGGCCGACTTCTCGATTTCCTTTTCTCTGTCCATTCCACATTTACCCATCCTTCCTGGGCTAGTTCAGCACACATCCTGCCCCCTACCCACAGGAGACAGGGTAGACAGAAGTCATTGGCTTCTGGGCAGAGAACTGAGCAGCCTTTGGCTGCCTCTCCTTTCCCTGAACTTACTATCTGTCCCACCACTTCGCCACTTGCCCTGGTTCATTTGACATCTTCTACTGGATCATGCTTTCCTTAAGGGCTGGCCCAAGTCCGAGTCACCTCTGCCTGAGTTCTCAGCCTTTGGGCAGCCTCAGCAAGTATAAGTGAGACATAGTGGAGGAAAGTTGGAAGGAAGGAGAGACAGGTGAGTGGGGAAATGAGGTGGTACACATCAGTCAGCCCAGGGTCAGGTAGGAGGCTGCAGGTGGATGTAGGGACACAGGCGACAGTGGCAGGCCCTCATTGACCTGCTCCATGGGCATCCCCCCCGCCCTGCCCAGGGCAGATTTAGGCTGCAGAGTGTGAAACAGCCCTAGGCTCTCTGGGGACAGGCTGGTAATTGGTGGAACACGCATTTCACGGTAGGTTGGCCTGAACCTCCCTGAGTGCCTCCCTCTGGCTGGGGGCCAGGATGGGTCCACATCTGGATCTTGGAGACAGGATCCCAGGTATGGGTGGGGGGTAGGGTGGGTGCGGAGCTCAGGAAGCCATCTCACAGTGCTCCTCCTCTCCTCAGCTAGGAAGCTGCCACCTGTAACTCTGAGGACAATGGCTAGAGGAGTCCCATGTCCTTAGGAAATGTCTGGTCTAGTTTTCTACATTCCAGCACTAAGCACACACCCTGTCACACCATGCTTCACAAGGCCTTTGCTGACAAAGTAATGAAAGGCTGCCATAACCTCCAGAACAGCTCTAAGGTGGAGCAGCTTCTTCACACCTCAGGAAGGTGGCTTTGGGGGCCCAGAATCTAGGGTCGAGAGGTCATGGATCTGCTTCAGGCTCCAAAATCCGTCACAGCTGCCCTATGAGAGAAGGGTAGTAGAGGTAGGGCACTTCCTGTTCCTGCTTGTTCCTGCTGGGCAGGGGGATGAGGTGGTGGGACAGATGGCAAGTTCAGAGAAGAGGCAGACAGCCCATTCAGTGACTTCTGACTACCCTATCCCCTGTGGGTTGAGGGGCAGGGTGTGTGCTGAACTGGCCCAGGAAGGATGGGTAGATTTCGGGACGGGCAGAAGAAAAGAAGAGGAGAAAGTCAGCCTGGGATAGTGTTGAACCAGACAAAAGTGCCTTCTGCCCAAGGTTGAGATCATCTTCAGGTATATGACCCAGGGAGCATATGATGCTTAAACCAACAGAGTCCAGTCCTTCATTGGATGGGGAAAGTGATGGCGGAGATGCCCCCAGATCACACAGCAAGTAAAAGGCAGAGTTGGGCCTAAGACCAGGACTCCTGGCCACTGTCTCACCAGGCTACCTCCTCCTGGTTGTAATCTTCCACCTTTCCCTCCTCCTCACTCCCCTCCTCCAGCTGGGGCAGAGGCCCAGGAAAGAAGGCTGTAGGTTCTGTCAGGGTACAGCTTGTGACCCTGGGGAGGCATCCCCAGGAATGTGGACTTTCAGCAGGGATGGGTCAGGCCAGAAGTGGTTCCTGTGGTCTCATATTCTGGGAAAAGTTTTGCTCTCCCCAAGCCCCAGATCCCTTCCAAACACCCTATCCCCAATACAGCACACAAGCCTCCTCCTTGTCCTGGGCCTCCCACTCAGCCCTGATCTACCTCTTCTCCCTTAACTCCAAGCACCTGGTGGGGGGAGGGCAGAGGGGGTGTCACTCAGTGGGATAAAGGCAGCTGCTATATTTGAGTTATTATATAAGCCAGGAGGGAGGCAGCTGTAATGTGACTCCATCACGGTGGGGAGACAAGTTGAGGTTAGGCTTGGGAGGCAGGGTTCTGCTCCTCTCCATCCCTGGGCTCCAGCCTGGGCATTAGACCTGTCTAAAAGGAGCTGGGTACTGGGAGTCAGTTTCTGCACTGCTGGACTGCAAGAAAGGTCTTCCCAGGTCTAACCGCACTAGGAAAGCACTGCTCCCCCTCCATTTTCTTAGAAAAATAACCTCCACTAGTTGGTTTCTAGAAATTCAAAAGCCAGACACAGACTAAGCCTCCCATCTTCCCCGTGATCCCCTGAAAACACAGCTTGCCACTCATTTAGAGAAAGGTGCCTGCTGGGGAGAGCACCAGGCATGAAGCTTCAGCCCACCAGCGGCATCTTGGAAGGGCCTATGTTCCTGTCGCAGCTACATCGCTTCTGCCAAAGTCTCCCAACATTGGCAAGTTCATGCCTCATGGGAACATCTTCCTCACAGGGCTTGTTATAAAGATTAAATGAAATGACACATGCAAAGCCCTCAGCACAGTTGGTGATGGGTGCTCCCTAATGGTATTGCTAACATTATTTGCACAATCATTATTATTGCCAACACTAACGACTGGCTAGAAACCTCCCAGGTGGCTGGGTCCACCTTTGCCCCTGGTAACTGCTGACCTGGTTGGAAGATGAAGGAGAGAGCTGAGGTCTGAGTTGGGAGCACAGCCAGACTCGCTGCGTGATCCTCGGCAAGCCCCTGCCCTCCGCAGCCCTTAGTCTATGAATGAGCCCTCAGGGTTCCCAGCTCTAAGGTGGTGTTGGCAACGGGATTTTTTTCCTCACTGGGATTAGTGACTTGTGGCATTGCAAGCTGCGGTGCACAGGCTGGGGTGCTGTGGGGGTGGTAGGAGCGGGATGTGGACATGGCAGCCATGCTGGGCACGAGGCACAAGGCCCACCTCCTCAAGGCCTCTTGGCAGCTCCTCCAATGCCCCCACAAGAAGGAAGGCTGTACCCACCCCAGTTATGTTGCCATGACGCTGGTCTCCATGGCACCAGGCACACAGCTCTCCCCTAACCCAGGAGGAGGGACTGGAGGTGACAGGAGCTGAGGTTCAGGTTCCCTTGGCCTGTCCCTCTGTCTCCATCAACCCCTGTGCCCTTTAGGAGGGAGGACAGGGATCAAGAGTAGTTTCCACTTTAGAGGGTCAAAAGAGTGACAAAGAGAGGCTTCAGAATGACTTAGGTGGAGGGAGAGATATACAGGAGTGCAGAGAAGTGGCGGGGGGAGGGGAGGGAGAGCTGGGGAGACAGACGGGGGTGGGGGCAGATTGAGAACACACTATAGTCAGAGGGAGAAGTGCCTCCCAGGCTGACAAGCGGTGGGAGGCAGCGTCCAGCCCATTTCTTTGGTCTCTGTTTTGAGGGTGGGTGGTGGTGGGAGGACAGAGTGGAGGAGGAGGTGGAGGAGGAAGAGCAGGAGGGAGGGGGAGCAATTTTCCTAGAGAGCTCCTTGTGTGTGTGTGTGGCATGCACTTGCAGATCTGTAAGTGCAGGCTGAGGTGTGCAGGCACCAAGTGTGCGTGTGTTTGTACGTGTGTGTGTGTGGCATGTGCACGCCTTTGCCACTGTGTCTCCAGGGTGATAAACACAGCAGTAGGAGCTGTAATCAGGGCAGAGAAAGTGCGGAAATTTCCACGGGCTGGAAGTTGCACGGGAGAAGGGGCACACCAGGGCTTGGCCAGTTTGGCCTGACGAAGGGCCTTGTCCCTGCCGGCTCTTCCCTGGGCCAGTCCCTAGCTGAGTGCAAGTGACCTGGGCACACACACACATATCCCAAGTGTACGCAGTACAGTAGGACAGAGGAGCAGTTCAGAAACAGCAGCTTCCTGACGGTGTCCTGATGGTGTCATATTGGAGGAGAGGTTGGAGGGTTCATGCTAGCTGTATGTATGTATGTGTGTATACATACATACATACATACACACACACACACTCTCTCTCTCTCTCTCTCTCCAGAGCAGGGTCTGGACTACTTAGGTTACTCAGCTAAGAGAAAAGATGCTCCTTCTTCTGCCAGGGGAAGGTCCCCATGAGCCCATTTGACTGGGATGTGGTCATATCTTAGAGGCAGGGGGGTGGAAGCAAAGACATCAACACCCGAGGCATGGGGCATAGGTCCTGGGGTGTCCATGGGCACTAATCTCCAACCACAACAGGCTGGAGCTTGGTCACATCCCCTTGCCTCTGCTCATGCCATCCCCTATCCCTGAGATGTCCTTCCCTCTCAACTCCAACCACCGAAATATTGCCTGTCCTAGGCTTCCCTCCTCCATGGAGTCCATCCTGATCAGTATCTACCACCAGGAGGGCTCCATCCCTCCCCAACACCACTTACCCATCTGCTCCCCCTCAGTGCTCAGGAAAGCTCTGCACACTGTAGGTGTTCAACAAATGTTTGCTGAATAAAAATATATTGGGCCTGGAAAGGACTCTGGATGCCATAGTGTCTCCCCAGACATATTTGGGGAGGGGGTTAATGGGCTATAGTGTTAGGTACTTCATGCTTGTTAGGTCATTTAACCCTCCAAAACCACCAGGAAGTAGGTGCTATTAATATTTCCAAAGTACAGACAAGAACATGGAGTCCCTGGGTGGTGCAAATGGTTAGGCACTTGACTACTAGCCGGAAGGTTAGTGGTTCAAATGCACCCAGAGGCGCCTTGCAAGGCAAGCCTGGTGATTGCTTCTGCAAGGTCACAACCTTGCAAACCATATGGAGCAGTTCTACTCTGCACACATGGGGTCACCATGAGTCGGAATCAACTCATGGCAATTAACAGATGAGAACACCAAGGACCAGAGACCTAACTCACCCAGATACAAAGCTTGTATAGGGGAAAGTTGCCACCTGCCCAGGATTCCACACCCTTTTCTGAGGCAGCAAGCTGCGGGCCGGGGACTTGGGGGCCACCAGAACATGGAGCCAGGAAGGAGGACCTCGGCTCCAGGCCACCCACATGCCCCTCCCCCAATCCCTGGGCTTAGGAGCAGAGAGAACAGGAGGCAAGACCCAGCTCTTCCCTTCTCTACCCACCCCCCACCGCCCCATCGATTTCCTGCTGAGCCCAAGGGTCTCCTGAGACCCTTCAATGGCTACTGAACTCTGCTGAACATCTGCAGGGTGGGAAGGTTGGGCAGGAGGGAGGGGGAAGGGAAAGATACATAGACATCTCATCCCACCTCCCTGCCCCTACTCTCAACCCTTCCCCCACCTCTCACCAAGGTCTTACTCTGCTCCCCACCCCCACCCCCATCAGCCTCCTCTCCATCCACGGATGCTCTCACCATTCAGGTTCTGACTCATCACTGCCTTCTCTCCTAGGGCTCCCTGTGGTCCCCTGGGATGAAGCCTAGACTTGGTCTGGCTCTCAAAGGCCTGTCCTCCTCCCCTAACATTCAACCCACCCCTACCCCAAATGACACCCCTCCCCACCATGTGCACCTGACCAGGCTTCCAGTCTTCAGAGGCCAGCTCAGGAGTACCTCGTCCTCCAGGAAGCCCCTTCCTCTCCAACAGCTGCTCCCCAACCCTTAGCAGATCCAGCTCTCCATCCCCCACCTCACTGTCCCCCACCACCCAAACTCAAATGATACGTGAACAAACCACCCCCAGGAGGGCCCATTTCTAGGAATCCTTATGACAAAGGCCAGCAAAGCCCCCTGCCCTAACCTATCTAACACTGTCATCACTGTTGTAATTCATTAAGGTGGAAGCCCTGAAGGTCCCTGTTGGGATGTGATCCCGTCCCAAGAGAAAGCACTTCAAGCTATCATGAACATCCGACAGCTCAGATCCCCTTCCCCAGGCCACAGATGGGGCCTCCCGTAATCTGCGTGTTTACAGGGTTGGAGTTAGAATACAAGTCTAGGAGAAAATCCCCTGAAGTGGGGCAGTGGAATGGACCTCAGCCCTGATTCAGGAGAGCTGTGTGACCTTGAGCAAGTCACCTCCCTTCTTTGGGCCTAACTTTTCTCCTTTAATAAGAGACCTGTTGCTGTCAATTCTGACTCACAGCGACCCTATAGGACAAAGCACAACTGCCCCAGAGTTTCCAAGGCCATAAATCTTTACGAAAGCAGACTGCCACATCTTTCTCCCGTGGAGCAGCTGGTGGGATTGAACTGCCCACCTTTCGGTTAGCAGCTGAGCGCTTAGCCACTGCACCACCAGGGCTCCTCTACTAAGAGATGATGGTGAATAGAGTACAGGTGCTTACAGTAGGTGCTTGGTAAACAGCTGTTTCCTCTTCCTGCTCCTAGAACTCCAAAGTCGAAGGCACATTCCTGCACAGTGCTGTCATCCCGAATACCACCAGAAGAGAGGCCAAAGGCAGGGCCAGGTCCCACCCCACCCCTGGCCAAGGCCTGGACCAGCGTGACCACACTGGGGTTCGCCAGACTGTTCTGGGACCAGCAATGCTGTCTACGGCTACCCCCTAGTGGCCAAACGCAGTCACTGCAGCCAGTCCCCAAGCTCAAGCAGTGACACTGGCAGCATGGTGGGGGGTGGGGAGTCTCCAGCCCCACCCCCAGAGGGCAGTCCCATCCCACCTACTCTCTGGGCCCCAGGAATGGTTAGTCCAAGGTCCAATCCAGGGAAGAATTCCAGCCCTCAAGCACCTGGACAAGGGGGCCCATTAGCCCTGTTCTGACTGTAGGTCAGATGTTCAAAATATCAGTCTGGAGCAGCCCACCCAGGGAGGGACAAGAGGTGGCAGACTCAAGGGGCTTAGCCCCAGCCTGTGAAAGCTGCCAGTGAAGCTCAGGCAAGTCGTCCCAGTCTCTTAGCATCCACTCCCGACAGGGTTCGCACTCACACCCAGGCCTCCCCATGGAGCCAGATGACGTGGGTCAGAGGTCACCTGGTCCATTCTCTGCCCCTTGGAACAGCAAGGGGAAGCAGTCAGCCTGTCTGCAGGCTGGACCCCTGGAGAGAGGCCAGTAATGAGGCTACAGGAGAGGCAGGAATGTGGTGTCTGGCACCTTCCCAGGGAGTCCCAAATCCATCTCTAAACAGCTTGTTGTCACCCCTGCTTGCCAGGGCCTTGTCTCCCAGAGAGGACCAGACAAGGCCCAGGAAGGGCAGCTATCTGGTGCAGGGCAGCGCCCATTGCTGAAAGGGTGCACAGGACCCAGAGGGACCTGGAGGTCCTTCTTCCTAATTTATCTGAAAACAGCTCCTGTAATTCTGTGACCTCACGTCTCCAGCAGTGGCTGCTGAGGGACTGCCTCAGCCAGCCACATGCCACATGGCAGCAGGGACCAGGGCTTGGGCCCAGCTGGGGTCTACCCTGGCTGAATCAGGACTGGGCCATGGCTAGACTAGCACTCCCCACCGTGGGTACAGAATACAAGGTGACAGCATGGAGCCAGGCCAGGCCTTCACCTGGGGCAGGGGAGAGTGAACAGCTCAGGCTCTGTGAGAGGACCCAGGTCCCCGGCTTCGGGGCACTCACTTCTGGGCCTCTCAACCTCCTGACCCCTCTACCCCAAGACACCTGATCCCCTTAACCAATCACAGGCCTCAGCACCATGGGGTAAAATATACAGATATATTTATATTATCAAAAAGCCCCCAAAGCAGGGAAGGGGCATTGGGAAGCCTGGTCTCTCCTAGTCAGCCCAGGAGGAAGGGGGGCTGAAGCCCCCGAAGTCCAGCTCTTGGCCATACAGAAGCTCACCCGAGTTCCCTACCCACCCAGCTAAGTGCTCCTTCAGATCACCCACTGCTTGCTGTCTTGGAGTTCATGGCAGGGGGCAGGCTCCCTTCCAGCGGGGGCCCAGGGCCTCCAGCCTCTGAAAGGATAGTGGTCCTCCAGAATTCCTGATTTACATCCATCTCCTCAACCCCACAAACTCAGGGTGGGTGACCCTGGGGGTGGGTAAGTCAGGCCAGAAGGGCCAAGCCCCTGGACAGAGCAGGCACGGTTCCTCCCCAGGCAGACCCTGCTGCCCTCACAGACAGGGAACCCCACGGTGCAGTCAGGGCTGGGATGCAGGGGTGCGGCTTCCTCGTGTGCCACCTCCTAGCTCACACCAGGTGCACAGGGCATGAGGGCTGTCAGGACAGGAAGGTAGGCTTCACGGTGGCAGACTCTCAGCACTACGGCTCAGCTCCTGTGCTCAGACGTTGCGGAGGAGCTGTAGGAAGACAGAGAACCCAGATTCCGTAAGCATTACGTGTAGGCTCAGGGGGCCAGTGCGCTCTGGAAGCTTCTGCAGCCACTTTCCATTCCCTGCATGGGAGTGCTCAAGTCAGCTAGAGTTCCAGGGTCTGGTATGAAGGGGTTCTGGTTAACTATGTGAACCAAAGGGGCCTACTGGATAGAGGGAGGGGGCTGGAGGACACTCAGAGAGAAGCAGAGAGGTGAGTGGTGGGGTCAAGACCAGCATCCGGCCAGGTCCTACCCCACTGCCCACAGGGACAGAGACCCACTCACAGACAGGGGGTCCGCGGCAAAGGCGGCCACACTCCGGCGCATCTCGTTCTCGCTGCCACGCAGGGGGATCAGTGATACACTGCCCAGCCGGATTTCAGGCACCGCCCGAGAGACACGTGAGGGCTCCGAGGGCCACACTAGGCCATCATGCTGGGGAGCAGGAGAGAGAAGGGGTGCTGAGCCTGGGTGCGGATTCGGCTCACCCAGCCTCTCGGCACCAGGTCCATCCACCCTTCCCAGCAATGCCTTTAGCTCTGATCTGAGGTGACACTCTCAGCTTCGATCTCCAACGATATAAGAAGCAGCTGTTAGAAGAACATGACCACATCCCTGGCAAAACACAGCCCAGTTATGTTACTCAACAACTCCCATCTCAGCATCCACCAAACAACCCCTCCAAGAATGCCAGCACCAAGAAAACACTTCTCCTAGAAAAACGTGGCTGTGCTTCCTTTTATCAGGACCCCAGAACTGCAGAACCTACCCTGTTTCCCTTTAGACCTTGACTACCAGGAAGCTCGGGATAAATGAAGAACCTAGCTACAGTAAAGAACTCAGCTCAGGGCCTTGGTCCAGTTTTCTTTCCCTAAGCAATTTTGGGCTCTCATTTAAAAATCTTTAACCTATCTGTTTTAAGTCTAACTCAGGCTCTCTGACCCTGCTCTGGCTCAGAAGTCACCACTACCCTGCTCTGGCCTGGGCCACCACAGCAGCCACCTCACTAGCCTCCTTGCCTCCAGGCTCTGCCCTTCAGCCCATTCTCCTCTGCATGCCATACCCAGGATGAGCCATCCCAGACTCAAACCTGCACCCTACTCTCTCTTGTTTAAAACACTCCTGGGGTCCCCTCTGCCTACTGAGTCAAGTTTAGTTTCCCTAGCATGGCACTCAAGGCTCTTCAAGATTTTGCTCCTTGCTCCCTAGCCCCCTTGCTTCTTGCTTTACACTCCCCTGCACAATCTCTAGTTCTCCTTCAGGTGCCCATGCCTTTGCTTCAACTGTCCCCTCTGCCTAGCTGTTCCCTACCTCTTTGCTTACTAGAGTCTTCCTCTTCCCCAAAGACTCCCCACTCCCACTCACCACCCCACCAGGTCAGGTCCCTGGGCTTCTCCGTTACCACAGCATTGATCACACTGGGCCATAGCAGGCTACTCTGGGCCTGTTTTTCTCTCCACATGGGGAGTGCCCTGAGGGCAGGGCCTGGGTCTGCGGCCTCTCTGTCCTTCATATGTTTGGGTCCAGATTGTACCACAGCAGGCGCCAGCAAGGGTTTATCGAGTGAATGAACAAATGAATTAAAAGCCAACTCAAAATCTCCTTGAGGCAGTGAGTGGCATGAATAATGAAGAAGCAAACATACCCATTGTCCATAAGCTTACCCAAGGCCCACTCCACATCCCACATCTGGTACCTGCACAAACAGGAAGGTGGCGAACCACTCCCGGAGCTCCATTTGCGTGTCACAGCACAGGTACCTGTGGGGCGGGGCACGGGCCTGGATGCTGCCAGGAACCTGGTGGAGGAGGGACCCCTGCCCATCCCCCCAGCCCAGGGTTTTTGGGGCAGGCACAGGTCTGGGCAATGATGGGGACCCAATCAAGGGGAACTTGCTACCATCTCTCCTCAGCCCAGGGTCTCAGGGTGGGGCCCTCGCTCACCACTGCTGTTTCTCGTGTTTCTCTGTTTCATGCACCACTGTGAAGCCCCAGCTGCAGAGGATGGGGGTGAGGGGTCACCTGACAGCTTGCCGAGGCCTCAACACCCAGGTTCCCTGGGACAGAGCCCAGTAGCTGGACTGGAGCCCGGGGATGGAGTGCAGGGCCTTCTCGCCAGTACAGTACATCCTGACCACTGCCTCTTCCTCTCATAGCCCCCATCAGTCCCCCAGGCCCTTGCCCCTCCCGCCAGCCCCTATCGTACCCCCAGCCTCACCTTCACCCCAGGCCTGTCCTAGTCCCAGAAAGACAGCCAGGCCCAGTCAGCTGATGAGGACAGTGTCAGAAAACCAAGTCCGCTGACTGCAATTAATAACGCTAACAGTGGCTAAGTATCACTTTTCAACTTTTTAAAATCTAAAACCACCCTTTGAAATAGGTGTGCCATTATTTTCCCCATTCTACAGATGTGGGAACTGAGGCACAGAAAGGTCCCAGAGTTAGCAGGTGACAGGATTTGAACCCAGGCCAGTGGTTCTCAAACATCAGCAAGCATCAGAGTTACCTGGGGGGCTTGTTGAAACAGATTGCGGGGCCACACCCCCACAGTCCGTGAGTCAGTAGGTCTGGAGTACCTGAGAATGTGTGTTTCTAATGTGTCTCCAGGGATTCTGATGCTGATGGTCTGGGGACCACACCTTGGAAATCACTGCACCAGGGTATACTGGCTGTCAGAGCCTCACCTGTCAAGTTCAAGGCCCCCAGCTGTGCCTCACCAGATTCTGACCTCCCACAGGCCCATCTTCCCAGCCCCAGCTCACCAGGTAGGTGGCCGGAGTTTCTTCTTCACTCCTAGGTAGACTTTGAGGCTCTTGATGGGCCACTCTTTCTCAGGCCGATGACTCTGGGATATAGGAGGGTAGATGGAAAGCGGGGCTTCACTCAGTCAGGGCGGGCACTGGGTAGTCCTCCCCAGGTAGGCACCTCCCTCCTCCTACTCCCAGCCCCGCTCTGCATCCCAGCACAGGCTACCTCCTCCAGGAAGCCTTCCTGGCAAAGCCCTCCCTGTTGACAATCCAGCCCAACCAGCCCCCAGCCCTGGACACTCAGCCTCCCTCTCTAGAGTGCCACCCCTTCTAAAAAGCAGCATCAGACAGTCAACCCTCAGTCCCTGCGGCAGCCACTTCAGAGCATCAAGTTCCAGCCCCTCCCTACGTCCCTGCAAACTGGAATTGACTTGTTGCATCAATCCGAATCAGATCATTTGTGGAGAGAAACTGCTCCACATAATCCTCGGGCACTTGGCTGGAACAAGCACGTGTCATTTGAGCACCTCGCTTAGCTGCTTGAGTCTACATTTGTCCCAGATTATTCATTCCTCACCCCTTCCCACTCCACGGGGGCTCCAGGGTTGACCGTGTGAACATTAAGGCTTGTGGTGGGGTCAGCAGTTACTAGCTCTTTGGTACCACAAGAAGAAGGCTAATGCCTCGAGCTGAAGCAGAATGGCTGTCCGGTGGACCAAAGGAGAACTTCCCAGTGGTCTAGGTCAGGAAGCAAGACCAATGTACTGGGGAGGGGCACCAGATCACTGACATGCTGGCCTCTGGCCCCTGCCTCTGCATATGGGTCTGAGCTTGGGAGGAACAGGCTGGCTCGGAGGCAGGGGGATGGGAGCAATGACCCCTAAAGAAGAGGCTGGTTGGAAATCAAGCTAATGAGCCTTCTTCCTGCTCCAGGGGCCACCTGTTCCAAGCCCTCCCCCCACCAGGCACCCCTGAAGCCAGCAGGGGTGCCAGGGTGGACAGCAAGGGAGGAGGACTCACTTACAACCAAAACTGGGGGTCCAAAACTGAGCCACCCCCGTCCTTTTCCCCACCATTGCTCCCAGCCACCCCCAGGCATGGCTCTTAGCAGAAGCTAAGAGAGGGCTAGAGGATGGCCAGGGGAAGTGGAAAGACCTTCAGGAATTGGGGGACTTCCCTGTGATGTCACAAAAGGATGGGCTGCCTAGGGACTGGTGGAGACTTCTGTGCTGTCACAGGCGGTGTGGTTAAGAGGAGCTTACTAGGGACTCTTCACCCTGCTTTCACCCTGTTGCTGTTCAGTCAATTCCAACTCATGGTAACCCCACGTGTGCAGAGCAGAACTACTCCAGAGGATTTTCAAGGCTGTGACCTTTTGGAAGCAGATAGCCAGGCCTTACTTCCAAGGCACCTCAGGGTGGGTTTGAACTGCCAACCTTTCAGTTAGCAGTCCGGCGCTTAACCATCGGTGCCACCCAGGGAATGGAATCAGGCTGCAGATGCGGGAGGAACAAGGTGGGGGGAGAATGCAACAAGGAAGAAACCTGCATGCAATCAGGGCAGAAGCAAGGCTGAGAACACTGAGGAAATCCAACCGCCGACTGGAAGACACCGGGGAGTGGGAACAGGGAGATGAAGTCAGAAGCTGTGGAATAAATTAGGCAGCAGGCCTGGAAAACCCAAGGCTCTGGCCATGACAGGAAAGACTGTAGGGAAAACTGGGCTGCAGGTACAGAATGAATCAGGCTGAAGGGATGAAAAACAGGCTGAAGGTTTGGAAGAAGTCACGCCATGGGTGTGGAAGGACAAGAACTAGAAGCAAGGAGTAAAGTGACTCCAGAGTGGAAGAAACAAGGCGGTGGGTGTGAGAGGAATGCGGGCGCAGAGGGAATTGCAGGAACTGAAGAATTCAAATCCGACTGTGGCTCCTAAGAATCTGAGTCAACAACCCCCAGGCCACTGCTTCCTCGGTCTCCAGGGCACGTGCATGATGGGAGTATGACCGAGATGAGAGGTTGAGGGAGGGTCTTGTTGGGTGAGGGGTGTATGAGTAAATGGAATCTCCTTTTGTCCCCAAGAGCTTCATGTTTCCAGCATCTCTGAAGTCACCGGCAGAGAATGAAGTTCACCCCTTGATGCTTAAGGACCTGTGCTTGAACCAAGATTTTTCTAGTACATACCCTTCCCAGGTGTCTCAGGGTCTTTAACAAAAAGTGACCCCAGGATGAGGCTTGGGTGGCCACATATCCTGAATTGCCTGGGATTGTCCCAATTTCAAATATTTTGTCATGTGGCTCATAAACCAATACCAGAATTACTGACGCCTCAGGAAAAGCACAATTTTCAGGGGCTTCTATCAGGCCAGAGGTGCTGCATGTCTCTGGGGTGTGGAGAGCACCGTTTCCCGCACTAAAAGCCCCACCCTGATGATCCCACCCTGATGATCCTTGAGTTCCTGTATTTCAAAGGATACAAAGCTTGGGCTTTGGTGCTAACTAACCTGGGCTTGAATCCTGGCCTACCACCTAGAGATGGCCTTGGGCAAGTCATTTGAAGCCTGTCTTTGCACCTGTGAAACAGGGGTAATACCCCTCCTCACAGGACAATAGTGAGGATTATACGACCCTGTATGTGAATGGCCTGGCACCAAGCCTGACTTGATAACGTTAGATTTGTTTCCTTTTTCTAGCTCTTCTGCCTTCTCCTCTCCATGCCAAGAGATTAGCAGGTACTTTTCCAGGTGCCTCAGCCATGCTCCCCTCTGCCCACACTGGTGGTCTTGCTCTGCTTTATGGGGTTAAGCACCTCAGAGAGAAAGGATGGGGGGATAACATCCTGGAACTTAGGGGGGATGGAGTGGAGGAGTGGATGAGGCTCCCAGGCCCAGAAGTGAAGATGTGATTATAGAGGGAGGAAAGAAGAGGAAGTATTTCTCATAAGGGTCAACAGGAGGCCAGGCTGCATTAATAGAGGTATAATGTGCAAAGAGAGGGAGGTGAGGGTCCTTGTCCTATCTGCCCTGCTCCATCCATGGCAGACAGGCCTGTTCAGAAGTCCTCAGAAGACACAAGAGGAAGGAAGGGGTTGCAAACACTGGTAGGCAGCTGTAGAGGCTCAGGCTATACCACTGGACTTGGGAGTCACGGTCTCTGCTGCCATCTCTGCAGAGGCCTCTATGCTCTCTGGCCCCTGAGGCATAGCTGGGGCCTTCTCCCAGGCAGAATTATCCCTCTAGGGACAGGAGAGTCCCAAGGGAGGGGTGGGTGAGTTCCCCTCCCCCAGAGGTACGCAAACAAGGGCTGGGTAGCCAGTCACGGAGGCTGCAGAGGGACTCCTACCACAGGTGGAGAGTATCCCACAGGTTTTTGTGATCCTACCCTGGCATTTTAGGATGAAGGCAGTAGTGAGGACACTCTGACAGCCCTGGAACTCTCTCCAAGGCTGGAAAGAGAGTGGCTCCCAGGGTGAAAGATAAGGATCAGATCTCTAACTTAAACCTGAGGACTCCACTGCTGGCTCCAAAGCTGAGTCCTGTGGAAAATTCTATAGCATTGCATTGATGGGGACCCTATCTTGGGGGCAGGACCCTGGGACTGGGGTGGGGATGACAAGCAGGAGCCTAGGTCATGGGCCCCAGGTGCAGGCCAGGGCCGACTCGCAAGAGGGCAGGAAACCATGCCTGGAGATGGCCGGCAGCCTTGGCCAAGTCTCCTCTGTTCCCACCCGGCTCACTTGGCCCCCAGGTGGTGTAAGGCAGCTGGCAGTTGACCCAGAGCTACTCACGGTCTCAGGGGCCCCGCTCCATGGCCTCTGGCTCTGTTTGATAGAGGATCAGGGTTACGGAAGGAGTCCCAGCTCCAGAACCAGGACGGTGTGTGCAGTGGTGAATGGTGGGATATGTGCCAAAGATGGGGGCAGGGGGGAGGCGGGAGGGCGGGGGGTGCCAGGGTGGAGTCTGGTCTGGGAGAACACCGGCACGTGGACAGACTGGGTATGGAGTGTGGGCCAGGAGGGGTATATCCTGGGAAGTGACACAGCATGTCGGCCCACACCTCAGGACTGTCACCAGGTAAGCATGTTCTTGTGGTTACCGTGACAAGGCCCAGCCCCAGGGGAGACAGCATATGTGTGTGCTATGATGGCATCTGGGTGCCAAGACCTAGTGAGTCTACAGGGCACAGCAGAGTGACCACCCAGGGTCATAGCAGGAGGGTCCCTGAGAGGCTACAGGTTTCTCGGGAATATTTCACTTGCAGACCAAGGAGGATGTTCGTGCCTGGGTGTGTGTCTGAGCATACAAAAGGGTACGGGTACCCGGTCCAGGGCAGAACCCAAGAGGGGCCACTTACCCGGACCTCCTTGTAGAGCCGCAGGCAGCTGCTGTTGAGGATGAAGTAGCGATCGTGGAAGCCACCAGAGGGCAGGCCCAGGCCCAAGAGGCTGCGGTCCTCACGGAACTTCATCATGCCATGCTTAGTGTCACCTACACGGCTGGCTGGGGTGGGGGACTGGAGTGGGCATGGCTGCCCTAACCCCTACCCACAGATCCAGACACCCAGCACAGGGTCGCAGAATGAAGGAAACAGCCCCTCCCGCCCCAGTCCCCACAGAGGCCTGTCCGCCTGGTACCTTCTGCCTGAGCTGCTCCTACCTTGCACCACTAGGTCCTGCCCCGGCTCTGGATGGAAGGACAACCCAGCCTGCCCCAGCCCTGCAGATACCACCTACCCAGGTACACCACTTACCCAGGTAGAGCATCATGGTCTCCATGGACTGGTGCTTCTTCACCACCAGATAGCTGTCTGTGCCCAGCCCGTGCAGGATCGGCAGCACCTTCTCCGCAAAGTGCAGAGGGCGTTCTGGGAAGATGTCATACCCACTGTCACCAGGGCTACATGGCCTGGCACCACCAAGAGAGCCAGTACACAGAGCACACATCACCTATACAACCACTGTCAGCATCCACCCTCACTGCCCGCTAGTGCCTTGACACACCAGCATCGTGACCACTCTTCCCGTGGCCTGAGCTTCAGGCTTCACACACCCTGGCTGTGACCAAAACTGCTCAAACTCAACATGTCCAAAGCCAAGTCCGTGATCTTCCCATGTGTGTCCCCATCAGAATAAACAGCATCCCGACCCACCAGGCTGCTCAAGCCAGAAACAAATCCTTCCTCCTTCTCACCCTCCAATCTCAAATCTGTCTCTGTCCATCTCTGCTGCTGCCACTCTGGCCCAAGTCACAGTCTTCTCCTTGGACCAATGCACTCTTATCCCTGTCTTCCCTCCTCCCTCCACCCAGTAACAAGCAGTGACCTTTGCAAAATTCCAATCCCTTCCCTATTATAGTCTTGCATTGTTGTTAGGCCCTGCGTGGCCAGTCTCTTCCTCTATCTCAAACCCTACCCCCCTCTCCACCCTTAGTTCAAGTTCCCTGAAAGCTGTGCCCATACCCACCTCAAGGCTTTTGCCCGTGCTGTTCCCACTGCCTGGGAGCACTTATCCCCCTTCTTCACTCAGTAACCCCAATTCTTCCTTCACATCCCAGCTCAGGGAATCTGAAGTCAGAGACCCTGTTATAAGCTCCTGTGGCACTATGGACCTTTCCTACACAGCAGTTAACACAACTGTAGTTGTACGTTTATTGGTGCGATGTGGATTAACATCTCTCTCACATCAGAATAAAGCCCCCGTAAGAGTAGGGATTGTGTGTTTGAGTCCCCATCCCAGTGCCTTGCACTCAACACATAATGGTTAAACAAATGAACAGATATACCCTCATCCTCCACCACCATCAAGACCATCCTCCACCATAAAATGTACTTGCAATCACCCCCCAACCTTCACCACCATGGCCAGTTCACACCACCATCACAGCCATCCTCACCCACCATCTTCCACATTCATCATCACCCACAACCATGCTCACCACCAACACTGGTGTCACTCGCAACTCCATTACCAAATTTAGCACTATCTCCCTTGTAAGCAATACCATTCTCATTGCCACCTGAGAAACATCTTCACAGCCAACACCATCTATTCCCTTTACTATCTTTCACATCAGCCACATTATAGTCATCACTCTCAAAGACCGCCAGCACACCGTCACCACCATCACTGAGATCACAGCCTTCATTAGCATGGTAGCAGTCATCAAACTCCCCTCTTCACCACTGCTGCAAAGCAGGCGAGGACAGGCCCCACCATGTCCCGCACCAAGCCCAGTGGTCACCCACCTGCCTCCTCCCTCTCGTTGACCTCAAAGCAGGTCCAGTAGTCCTTCTCCCTGATTCCCACATTCCTGCGATCCAGGATCTCCAGGGTGAGTTCCTCAGCTGTCATGGATGCTGGAATCTGCAGGGCGGGGGAGACCAGCCTCACCTCCAGCTCTGCCATAACTTTGCTGTGTGATCCAAAGCCTGAGCCCACCCCCCTCAGGGTCCTGTGGAGTTCAGTGGTGTCTCTGAGTGGTCCTGATCAGTTGGATGGGGAGGAGGGGAAAAGAAAAGTCCCAAACCTGAGACTCTTCTTGGGATGGAAGCCCTGCTACCCTGGCCATCTGCACTTGTGCCTACCCTAGTGTGACTCTTCTGGACCCTTGGCTTATAGCTCCCTGGTCCCTACCTTGATATGTTGCTCTGTTTCCGCTGCCTTCTCCTCCAGATACACGGTGCAGATGAAGTCACCAGCATGCTGTGGGGAGACAGGGCTCAGCTGGAGGCCTTGGGAGCAGTGCTCGAGCCCCATACCCTAGGCCTCATCCTTCACCTGGGTTCCACTGGCAGTGCCAGCCACACGCATCTTCACAATGGCAGTGATTTCCTCCCGCTGCTTCCTCAGCTCCTCCTCGTCCACCTGGGAAAGGAGAAGGGACAGGGACGGATGGTCACTGCCGCCCTGGAACCTCAGCCCTGCCCTCCTCTGCCCGTTGGCTGGGGACGTACATTGAACACCACCACATAGTGGCTGATGAGGTCTTCCACCACACGGCCAGCCTTGTAGTCCTGCCCATCTGTCTGGAAGAGTGTGGGCCCAAACACAATAGCCAGGTTGTGTATGTTCATGTGGTTCGTGTCTGAGAAGCACTGGACACTGGACCAGGTAGGAAGAAGGCTATGAGTGAGGAATCTGGCCCAGAACTTCCCCACTTCACCTTCCCAATTCCTGACAGGTCCAAGACTGGCCACTAGAGTGAGACCAGGGAAGGTCCTAATCAGAGCAGCCCACTAATTGGGGCAGTCTTTCTGGTCTTGTCCTGAGTCCTGGCAAGGAGTAGGACAGGGAAGTTGGGAGACATGCCAGGTACCCCAGGCCCAAGCTGAAACCTCCTCTACTTTCCCACCCTGCAGGAAGTAATTTTAGAGACAAGAGTCCAAAATCAGGGCAGACCATAGGTCAACACTCAGTCTCAAGGCCTACCTAGTTCCCAGGGGAAGGAGGGCCACCAGCCAGCTTGGGAGTAGAAGACTCTTCTCCACCCATCCCCCTAGAGCCTTGCAATGGTATTGCTCCTCACCAGTACAGGTGGCTGATAAGGGCCTTCACAGTAGCACGGTTGACTGGGGGCAGACGTGCCAGAAGCTCTCGGTACCTAGAGACCTTCTCCTCCTCATCCTCGATCTCTGGGTCAGGGGAAAGAGATTGGGTCAAGAACCCCACTGTAACCACCTCCCCTGTCCCACCATTTTGGCTGCTCTGCCTCTCGTGCTCATTGACATCACACCCTCCAAGTCACAGCAAGCCAGACACTCAGCAAGGACAGGGATTCTCTATCTGGAGACCCTGGCTGTGTGTCAAGCAACAATGGAATGAGAGAGAGTGGGGGGAGGTGGCTGTAGCCCATCAGCTGGGGAGTGCCTAGTCCAGGTGCATTTTGGGAGGGGAGGGAATCCTGAAATTTGCACAGACTGCAAATCAGTAGCACTGGCCAGGGCTTCAGGCTGCTCATGGGCTGTAGGGCCTACCTGAGGCCTCCAGCCAAGCTAGGCGCTGGGCACGAGTAAAGAGTCCATCAGGCAGGTCCCGCAGGAAGCGCTTTAGCGCAGAGGAGACATCATCCACGTGCTGCTCGCCCTCCTTGAGGCGCACAGAGCGTGCATCCTGCCGCAGGCTGTCCAGAAGTCGCTGGGTCTTCGAAATCTGCCCACACTTGCGGTAGATGCCCTCGGAGGTCAGGCCTGGGAAGGGGCGGGGCTGAGCTTGGAGGCGTGACTGAACGTGCTGGGCCTATGACGTTACATCACGAGGCGGGGCCACATAGCTGCTTTCAGAGGGATACTGGGAACCTGGAGGTGTTGTCTGGGGCGGAAAGGTCTCCCCTTAGGGGAGGGAGTCTATGTCCTGGGGTTGGGGCAATCACATATGGGGCGGGGCTCACCGCACTGCGTTATGTAGTCCACACAGCGGTACACAATCACCGGGATGTCCGATTCCCCAAGCTGCTGCTCCGACAGCGTGTCCCCTGAGCTGGCTGCTGCTTTCTGGATGGCCCACAGCCAGCCTGTGAAGTCCAGCCGCCGCTCCCTCTGAATGTACAGCGTCCTGGGCCAGGGACAGTGAATCACCGCAGGGCCTGTCCCTGCTCCACCCCGCACCAGGCCTGTAGGACTGCCTCCAGCTTCTCAGCGGCCCTTGGGGAGGCCATGGCTTACCTCCGTCGCTCCACCAGCACCAGCACCTGGTTTTCACTGTCCCCTTGGACGGCTGTGGAGGAGCCGATCAGGGTGAGACCCAGATCTTGTTCATGGTCCCCAACCTGCTCCCTCCTGAGGCTCTGGGCGCACACACTCCTGGGACCCACCCACCAACATATGGAGGCACTGAAATGCACCCGACAGGTAGGGGAGAGCATGAGAGGGCAGGCTGGCTCCTTCTGGCCAGGCTGGGATAGAGTTCAGACTTCCAGGGAGGGGCTGGGGGCCTGGAAGTCCACGAAAGGGTGCCCTGGAGTTTGGGGCCCTGGGTCCGGGTCCACGCACAAAGCTCCTGCAGTTTCCGTAGCTGCAGCGCCTCCTCACAGGGCCCCTCTGGGAAGACGGCGCGGAGCTCGGAGCCAGTGAGGGAGAACCAGCCCTCCTGGGTCCGCTGCAGGCTCAGGCCAGCTTTGTAGGGTAGGCGGCCAAGCCGGTCAAAATCCCGGGCTAGCAGTTCTTCAGCCAGGGGAGGCACAAATGCCTGGAAGGAGGGCAGGGTAAAGGGAAGGGGGTCAGAGGAGAATGCATCAGCCAACACCACTATGTGCCCAGGATACCCCAGCTCCTGGGCTCGTGGGTGAGTGCTTTCCTCCCTACTCAGCAGCCCCCCTTTCTATTCCCAGGTCAGAACCCAGTACAGTGGATCCTGCCCTACTCCCACCTGGTGAGAGCTCTACTCCTTCCTCCACACCCCTCAGAAGTGCCCTCCTCTGGAAAGCCTTCCCAGATGCCATCAGGAATGCCTGCTCTCTGGACCGCCACAGTCCCAAAATATTCTTGCCCTCTGTTACAGCACCAAGTACACAGTTGTTGCTATCTGGACCTCATCTGTCTCTCCCACCAGCCTGGGAGCTACTCAGGAGCCAGGGCCAAGACTGGTTCACCTGAGTTCCCAGGGCTCTGAGGAACAATGAACAAGAGTCAGGCTCTCAGGGCACCTGGCTCTAGTTCCCAAGGCACGGCTCTCCTCTGCAGCCTCTCTGCCTCTTCCCTCCAGCCTCTGCTTGTACACCTCCAGTGGCAAGGAGCTCACTCCCTCTAGAGGCAGCATTGCCCATCCTAAGATGGCTCTGCCCGTCATTCATCATTAAACATTAATTGAGCACCTATGGGGTTTAAGGTCTACAGCCCTTCTTCCCAAGGCTGAGATGGGTCTCCTGACCTTCCCCCTGCCCCAGGGGGCTGCAGGTTATGTCAGGCCCTTGACCCGAGAAGGCCACCCTGCGTCTGCTGCCCTCCATCCAGCCCCTGCTCTATCAGAAGGGGGATCTGGGAAACATGAGATCTGCCCTGCCTAGTGTCCTTCACAAGGCTTCACCCTAGACCCTTTCAGGTTCCCCTGCTAACCCAGACCCACCTTGGCAATGCACTTGACCCACTCATGAGCCAGCTCCGCATTCTCCAGCCCAAACAGGTACAGCCGCTCTCCCTCCGTGTACACCTCAAAGGTGTGTTCAAAGCTGTAGATACAAGCTAGAACTGAGGCCCACCCTGCTACCCCAGCTAACCCCCACCCTCATCACTGCCCTTCTCCACCCCCTCCACACTGCCCTCTTGCGTGTCTTTACCCTGGCCACCTAAGAGGTGCTGGAAAAGCTCTGGGCTGGGGTCTGGTTCAACCCTTACACAGCCCTAGCTTGCTGTGTGACCCTGGGGATGTCCTGCTCTTCTATGAGTCTGTTTGTTTCCCCAGTGAGGGCTTGGACCTTTTAGCAGTAATAGTCTGTGATTCTGCCTAGGGGTGCTCACCTGTGTGTATTGGGAGGGGGCACTGCCAGGCATACAATCTCGCTGGCCCGAATTTCTCCATTGGGTGTCACTGCCCGCTCATTCTCGTAGTAGCTCAGAATTCCATCACTAAGGACACACCAGCGTCGGCTGAACTCTGGGGAGAAGTTGGGCAGAGGAGCCATGCTGGAGCCTAGCCTCCACCCTTGCCTGAAAACCACCTCTGCATCCTCCCTGGTCCCCCACATCCCAGCTGACCCCATTTCCTCTTCATTCCAACTCACAAGATCCCCCTAAATCCATCCTCCTCTCTCCAGCCCACCACCATAACCCAGTCCACCATCATCCTCCCCCCATACCTCTGCACTGGCCTCCTCATTTGTCTCCCAGCCTCCAGCCTCACCTCTTCTAAGATCCAAGAGCAGTTTAGCTAAAATAAGACCTCATTCTTCCTCCATTCAAAACCCTTCCATGGCGCCTCTTTGTACTCCGGACAAAGTCCACGCCCCTCAGTCTGGCATTCAAAGCCCTGCACAGGTCTGTCCCGCCCACCTCTTCAGCCACCTCTGACCACTCCTGGGCACACCCAGCTCTCTCAGCTTTTGTCAGCCCTGTTCCCTCCACCCATACCCTCTCATCTGTGATCTACTCATCCTTCAAGGCCAGCTCAAATGCCATAGGAAGCCTTCCATGCCCCTCTACAGCTAACCTAACTGCCCCTCTCTGTGCCCCTACCACCTCTGACAGCAGCACTCATGGCTCTGTACCCTGCCTCCACCCACAATGGCTCTGAGGAGACTTACAAGATCCCATAAAAGAAACAGAAATGGCAATCTGGATCAGGAAAAGAATAGAACATCAAGGCCATGCAGGCTTGTATAGTTCAAAGCACTGAGCTTCACACTGGCTCAGAGCTTCCTGGCACCCAAGGCAAAAAGGGGAGATGACTCAGGCAGTTACTTAAATGACATTATCAAGCAGAGGGAGGTAAACTAGGGGTGGTATCCCATGGGCAGTGAGGTAGTGAAAGCATAGAGTACCAAAGAACTCCTTCCGAGAGTTGGAGGGCTTCATCCAGAGGTGCTGAGGGATGCAGTCGGCAATGGCCTCAACAATGTTCTAAGGCAGACATTGTCTCTCATCCTGTCTATGAAGGTTTGACATTGCCGTCTGAGGGCAGGGTGTCCCCAGGCCTTCCCCCAAGGCTGGGCTCCCTCCAGGAATGCCAGCCCTACAGACCTCATTCTGCAGACATCTGCCAAGTACCCACTGTGGGCTAGGCACTGTTCTAGATGCTGGGGCTATAGTGGTGGCCAAGAGGAGCTCATATCCCAGTGGGATACAGGATCAATAGATACCCACATAAACAGACAAATTAATGTCAGATAATTAGTGTGAAGAAAAAGTAGGGTAAGGGAAGATGGTGATGGGGGTGCTGTTTTGGATAAGGTAGTCAAGGGTGATATCTCTTACGGAGTAACACTTAAATAAAGACCTGACTGATGTGAGGGACTGATCGTACAATTGTCTGGGGAAAAGCGTTTGGGGCAGAGGGAAGAGCAAGTGCACAGACCTTGGTGGGAGTGGCTATAGCAAGTTTGACAAGTAACAAGGAGGCCAGAAAAGCTAGAGCAGTCAGCAAGGTAGGACAGCAGTTGTGAGGTTCGAGTAGGATGCAGTAGGGACTTTGGATTCTACCCAGAGTCAGGGAGCAACCGGAAGGCTGAGATCAGAGGAGGCATGGAGCTTTAAGCTTAGTCCTCAAACTTCCCACCATCCCCAAGCCCCTAATACCAGAAGCCCAGCACAGGGCCCACATCCAACAGAGGTTCAGTAAAGACTTCTTTAGTCTGCAGGAAACATTGGCAGTGACCTGCTCTGAAGTGCCTAGGCCCTACCACCCCCCGCCAACTCATCCATTTATTGAGTACCTACTGTATACCAGAGACCATATCCAGGAAGCCTTCCAAGGTGACTCTGCCAGACTTCACTTGGCACCCTTGTGGGTCCACCAGCCTGGCGAGCCCTGACTTCCCTGGCCCTGCAGCCATGCTAGCTGTCATGGGCCAGGGTAGGGTCTGGCACAGCACCCACCTTCCCGGGCACGGCGATCCTGCAGTGGCTTGACAGCGGAAGCAGTCTTGTAGAGGAAGCCGCTGTGGCTCACAGTGGGCAGGACAACTGAGTAGTGCTTTTCCAGGGGCTTCACTGGGTCCAGCCGAGGTAACTCTTTGCAGGGGGGAGGAGGGAGTGGCTAGTCATGCTTGCCACCAAAGGGTGTCCCCACCTCACCCCCACCTAGTCTGGGCATCCAGGCTTCCTTTGAAGTCCCCAGCCCCAGCTCCCCAGCTCCAGACCAGTCCCTCAGGTGCTCACTCCTACCTTCAGGGGTATGCCCACGTTATTTTTCCACCTTTCCCCATCTGTGGGAATTCCACCCCATCCCCAAGGCCCAACCCTCGTACCTCCCCTTCTAGGAATCTTCCCTGACTCTCCAGCCCACCCTACTCTCCCTGTTGGAGGCACAGGGCCGCACACTTAGATGAGGGGGGCCTTGGGCAAACCTAACAATAATCCCTGGACAGAGGTTTGTCCCAGACAGTGCAAAGCCCAGGGAAGCAGCCTGGCTCCAGCCCTGCTCCCAGCAGTGAGCAATGAGGGAGTCCTGCCCTCCCAAGCTCAAGCCAGCTGGGTGGTCTCCTGTGACTCCCTGGACACCTGGGCTCAATCCAGCCCTGCACGCCCCACCTACCCATGGCCCCAAGCCCAGAGCCCCAGCCGCTGAGCTCCACCCTTAGTCCTAGGATGTGGCTCCAGAGGCTAGGTCTGGCTGTAACCAACAACACTCACTCCCCCTCACCGCCTCTTCACCCACCCTAAGAGTGGGAGCCAAATGGGACTGAACTCCAGTCTGTGACTGAGCTCTACCCCAGGCAGAGCAGCGGACAAGGCTGCTGTGATGGGTCACCCCATCACAGGGAACATACCACCCCACACAGCAACACAGACACAAATGCCAAAGCCTTCCATATCCCCAGGTGTAAGGAAACAGATCCACAGGCGCTCAGAGACACAAACGCTGGCATACGGACACCACCCAGAATGGACCACACTGCAAGTCAGGAAGGGACAACAAATGCACAGGTGCAGACACACAGAGACACATATATGAAAAGATGCACAAACGTACACTAACATACAACCCCAAACACACCCAAAATCACACACTCCACTGCACTGGGGACCCTCAGGGAGCTGCAACCCCAGCTTTAGAATGGTATGTAAATCAGCCCCTGGCTGACTCCCACCCGCCCCCTCCACCCCCGCCACAAAGGGCCAGTCCCTGGCATTAGGAGGCCCCATCCCCTGTGGTGGACAGTCCCACTGGCCACTCACCTGTGGTCTGGTTATTCCGAAGGAATTCCATCTGCAGTGTCTGCCCTGCCTGCTCGGCGAGAGCCAGGGGTGTGGGGGCCTCAGGGTCCCCTGAGAAGCAGCTGACCCCAGCCCCACAGCCCAGGAGTGCCTGGGTCTCAGCCAGGTCTGTGGTGGTGACTGCAGCACACAGGGCCTGGGAGGAAGGGAGAGGAGGCAGGGAAAGGTCAGCCCAAGCTGGGAGTGAGGGGCCAGCAGGGAAGCGGGGAGTCAGGGAGGAGAGGAAGGAAGACAAACGAGTTACCCAGGTTTGAGGGAGCCTATCCTCAGGATGAAAGAGAACAGGGAGAGAGAAAGACAGAGGGCGAGGAGGAGGCAGAGAAAGGCCAAGGGTAGGGAGGGCGGTCAGGAGCTGCCTAGCAGAGGCTGGGGTCCCAGTTGCCCAGGCCTCACCCTTGCTGGTGGCCCCTGGAGAGAGCTGCCCAGTTGAGCTGCCCAGCCTGTTCTCTATAGGATCTCAAACTCCTTCTGCCTTGTGGAGGGGCAAAAGGGGAGTGTGTTTTGTAGTTAATTCCTCCCACATCTGAATTCCTCACCGCCTGCCCAGCCCTCTCAACCAATGGGAGCCACCACCCCTCCTGGCTGGTGGGCTAGACTGGGCTGGGCCAGGGGCTGGACGCCTGGGTCCCTGGGAGGTGGAGGCCTGGCTCTCCATTTGGTTTCTAGCTGGAGGGAGCCTGCCTGGGTGGAGTTGATGGGGGCGGGGCTGAATGCCGACCACAGGTCACAAGTGGCATCCCTCTGCCTTGGAGCAGGATGCCTCCTGCGCAGGGCCAGTCAGATCAGGGCATGAGCCTTGGCTCCTAGCCTATCAGGGCCTGGGGCCCATACAGGGCCTCATCTTGAGGGGGGTGGGATGGGGGTGGGCCAGAGCAGCCCAGCTGTTTTTCATGAGCCTGACAGGAAATAGCATCCCCATTGAGTTCACTCCTTTTGGCAGGACTCTGAAGGAGCAGGACAGGGTGCGGGAGACAGAAGAATCAGGAAGGATGGGGAGGGGTAGAGAAGGGTGGGGAGGGGAGGGGTGTGGAGGGAGGCAGACAGATGCTGGGGATGTGACCTTGGCCCAAGGGTCAGGCCTGGCTCCTCCCTGCCTTGCTCCAATTCTCCATGTTCCTGGGGCAGGACCCCTCTGCCCTCTGAGCCTTAGTTTCCCTGTATGCCAGCTTATCACTCTGAGCTGGTAGAAGAGATGGCTGAGACGGGGTGAGGAATAGGGTGGCAGGCAAGAAAGGAGGTCCCAGCCAGTGATCTCAAGGGGCCCTGACAGTGTAGGGACAGACAAAGGGGGCTGTCTCAGGGGCCCCAAAGGCACAGCACCCTGACCTTGTCCAGCTCCTCCTGGTTGCCAAAGAGTGGGTGGTAGCAGCGGTATTTGCCCTCACGATACTTGGCCTCCAGGTGGCGCCGCCGGGCACCAGGGCTGCTGCTGGGCTGCAGGGCCTCACTGGGGGGCACATTGGCTGCCCAGAAGCAGTTCCCGGCACCATTGCCCAGCTGTAAGAAGAGCTGCGGGTGTGGGCAAGAGGTTAGAGAGGGCAGCCTATGGCCAAGGGCCCCTGCCAGGCAAAATCTTGGTTTCTGAGGTTGTCAGGCGAGCAACTGGGAGAGGCAGGCAATCTGCCCACTTCCCTGACGGGAAAGCTGAGGAGTGGCTTGACCCAGTGTGGCCCTGAGTGCTCCCCTCACCAGCCCTGGGCTCTGAGCCCAGTGCCTCAGCTCAGTGACAGGACAAGAGGCAGACAGTCTGACAGGTGGACGCCCCAGGCCTGGCGCCTGATGGAGGCGGGGGCCTTGCTGTTGTCCCACCCAGTCCTACATCTGGAACTCTGTATTCCTGAGGCTATCACAGCTAAGGGGGGAGGGAGGGTGTCTATCCTGTCAGCCAATGGGGTGGGCAGGGATTCTGGAAACATCTCCTGACCCTGACATTCCTCTCTGGAAGGGGTGGGGGCAGATTCTGGGGGAGCCCAAGGTCCAACATTCAGGGAACTGGCTTATTCATTCTTTCATTGTGCTGATCGTTCATTCCACAGCCATTTCCTGGAACCCCCACCTTGCCTCTTTGTCAGGCCCTGTGCAGAGTGCTGGGGTAACAACAGAGAACAAAGAGGAAACAGTCCTTTCATGTCCTGGGTGGCGGGGAGGATGCAGGCAAGACCCCCTCTTGTCACTGACTCACTCTGACTTTGGGCAAGTCATTTTCTCTCTCTGTGCCTCAGTGTCCTCATCTGTAAACTGGTAACTCACAAGTTTGTTTTGTAGGTCCATCAATTACTGTATGCAAATCCCCTAGCACTTACGGTGCCAAGCAGAGTTAAGAACCTGGGAAATGGATGTGATACCGAAATTGCTCTGGAGTCTGCAACCTGATATGGCTGTCAGGAACACTGTGGTAGGTCCCTGGGCCCAGCTTACCTGTAACTACCACACATACCGGTACCTGGGAACTCCAAGTACCCAAGCACAAATGTACATGTATGTGTGCATCCTAAAATGTACACACTAAAAACCACCTGTGGGTACACGTGAAATGAAGGGTAAGAGGCCCTGAGGGGTGTGCAAGGAAGGGGAGAAGACCCGGGCCAGCCAGGCAGTGGGATGGAAAGGGGCAGGGCTTGGTGATCAGTATGGAATTGCTGGGCAATCGCAGGCAGATTATAGCCCTATCCAGGGCCTCAGTTCCCACAACTGTACACTGGGATGAAGAGTTGGACTAGATCAAGAGTCAGCAAACTCTGGTCATAAAGAGCCAAACAGTAAATATTTTAGGCTTTGTAGGACACATACAGTCTCCGCTGCATGTTCCTTTTATCTTTTAAACAACGCGTTAAAATGTAAAATCACGCTTAGCTTGCAGGCCATAGTTTGCTGACTTTGAAAAAAATCAGCCTTTCCAAAATCCCCACCCACTAGATAATCCCAAAAGTCTCTTCTAGCTCCAGGGTGCTGGGAGCTGTGGGATGGGGCAGGGGGCTTGGGAGACCCAGGCAGCAGCTGAGTGGGGCAGACCCTAGGTACAGGTAGCAAGTGAGGACACCCCACCTCGATGAGTGTTTCCGTCCACACTTTCCTGTCCATCTTCAGGCTCCGCACCTTGGAGATGCCAGGGCCCAGGCCACGGTGCTCTCCTGCAGACAGAGGGCCAGACTTTGGGGTCATCCTGGGCCCTCCCCTCCACATGGCACTCACCCACCCCCAGAGCCCATCCAGGGACAAACAGGGATCCAGGTCTGCAGCTCCACATTTTGCATGGCTGCTGCACAATCGAGCCATGTATTCCTGCTTCACAGGACTGAGCCTGTCAGCGTTTCACCTGACTGGGCAGCAGCCCCCACCCTTACAGTCATGCTTGGCCCCCAGCAGGCCACTCCACCACAGTGATCTCTTTAAAATGCAAATCCCCGCATTTCAAATCCCTGCTTAAACCTCCCTGTGGCTCCCCAGAATTAGATCTCAATTCCTTACCTGCCTACCCCTCTGACCTCATCTCAAGCCACCACTCCCAGCATCCCCCCACCAACCCTCTCTCTCAGCCACACTCTCTTCCTTCCAATAGCCCACACTCAGTACTGCCTCAGGGACTTTGCACTCACTGTTCTCTGTACTCACTGGACTCTTTCTCCATCTCCTTGCCATTCAGATGTCATTTCTCAGAGAGGGTTTCCCTGACAAACAGCACGTTCTCTGCCAGCACTTGTACTATGCAATACTTCTATTGGTTCATGTATGCATTTTCTGTCTCCCCCCACTACAGTGTAAGCCCATGGGAGCAGGAGCCTTGACTGTCTGGTTTAGGGCTCTATCCTCAGTGCCTACAGCAAAGCCTGGCACACAGTGGGCACTTAATAAATCTCTGTGGAATGAAAGAGGAGATGTGGGGTTGGGTCTGGAGGGAGTACAGCTTTGCTCAACTACAGGCCCCAGAGAAGACCCCTGGAGTGGCGAGCAGGGCTGGGGGCACAAGTGCCTCGGCGTCACCTCCCTCTGCAGCCTCCCACTGGGACACCCTATCCACCCCATCATCATCCCCCTTCCACGAGCCAATGCTCCCTAATCTGGCCTCCAGCCAGATCATCACGCTCCTGTATCCAGACTGCGCAGCCCAAAGATTCTGGACACTTGCCCTAGCCGCCTCATAGGCCTCAGGCTTCTTCACTGAGCGCAGCGACTTCCCCCAGACCTGTTCCTCCCCCTGGGTCCCCACTTCACATGAAGGCACCCCCAGCCACCCAAAGCCGCCACCTAGGCATTGTCAGCTCCCAGGAGGGCTGGATCCGCAGCACCTAGCACAGTATCTGGTACATAGCAGACCCTCAGTAAATGTTGGTTAAATGGAAAAATGAATCTTGGACTCCATCCACTTTGGGGAGCTAGGAAGCGCGCTGGGTAGGGGAGTGAGTGCTCTTCATCCCTTCCCTGGGCCGGGTCTCCTCCTCCTCCTGTCTCTCCTAGGTCCTGCAAGGCCTTCTCACTGGTTTCCAATCCCACCTCCTCCAATTCAGCCTCCATCCACCAGCCAGAGTGTACCCACAAATCTGATCTCATCTCTCCTGTTTAAAGCCCACCCCTGCCTCCTATCCCTCCAAGACAAGACAACAGTTCCCCCTCTGCATGCCAGCCCTCCCACCTCACCTCCCCCCACTCTTCTGATGTGACGGGGGCACTGGACCCCAACAGGCCTAGACTGAAATACAGACTCAAGTATTTTCTAGGTGATCCCAAACAAGCCAATTTCCCTCTCTCTACCTCAGTTTCCCTACCCATGCTGTGGGAAGTCAAATCCCTGCCTTGCAATGTTGTGTAAGGACTGAAGGTTAATCACAGTGGGAAACGCTTGGCATACAGGAGGAACCTCAATAATGGTGGCTCTTCCGACTACTGCCTTCACTCCAGCCCCTCCATCCAGCCAAACCACCTGCTCTCCCAACACACCAGCCCCGTCATGCTGCCATTTCCTCTGCCTGAGGCCCCGCCCCCACACACACCTGCACAGCGCTTGCAGATGACGACACAGAGGTTGATGGAGGCCCAGTCAGGCTGGGCAGCCCCGCAGTCAGCGCAGAACCTGTTGGGGGCCACAGCCCAGATGCGCTCAGCCACCTCCAAGGTGGACAGGGCCTCGGCAATGGCTCCCTGCATGGCCTCCAGCCACTGCTCCTTCTCCAGCTCCGATTCGGCTGAGAAGCTGGGGACACAGGAGTGGGGGCTGATGGGAAAGGGCTCAGAAGGATTTGGGGGCAGCACTAGCATGAAGTGGGTCAGGGAGAAAAGGCAGTGGAGTTCATGGTCAGAAGATGGAGGTGTCCTGGGTCTGGTAGAAAGGTCGGCATAGATAAGGGCAAGGACGAGAAAAAACCTGAGAGCTATACGGGAGTTAAGGGAGCCCCAAAGGACTCTGACCCAGCCCAGTAAGCAGAGAAGGCTGCTGGGAAGAAATGATGCCTGTGCTAAGGCTTGACAGGAGAGAAGGACTTTCCAGGTGAAGAGGTGGAAAGGAGTTCTGAACACATGGAACAGAATGTGCAAAGGGGCAGGATGGTAGTCCAAGTGGACACACTGAAGAGCCTCAGACAGGCAGCCAAAGGGTGAAGAAGCAGGCACCCAGGGCCAGAGAACCCACAGGCCTAGGCCAAAATAGTACAAGAGCAGGAGGATGCGAACACTCAGAGGTGAGAAATTTGATGGAGGCAAGACAGGTGTGGTGCTAGATTTGCACAGGACTGAGTAGGAGAGGCAAGGACCCCCATGGGTGGGATGGGGGCCTGGGAGGAACAGTGAGTTGAAGAGAAAGTTGAAAGGGAGAGATGTCCACAAAGTTGTTAGACATGCAGGTCTTGAGCTCAGAAGGAAAATCCAACTGGACACAGAGATCTGGGCTGGGGCCCCAAGATGATGGTGCTGGTGACGCTGGCATTTATTGAACAGTAACTATTAACGGTCAGACAACAGCTTTACAAAGATGACCACATTCCTACTTCACAGAGGAGGAAACTGAGGCACAGAGAGGCCAAGTGATTTGTCCAGGTCTCCTTCCTGGTCAGTGGTGGACCCAGGATTGGAACCCAGGTGCTGCATATGCCTCAGAGGTGGCAGGTGAAGGCCTGGGAATGGGCGAGGCCCACCAGGGAGAGGGCAGAAGACAGAGACAGACACTCGTGGGGAACAAGTGAAGTCAGAGGCCACCACGAGGATAGAGTCTTGGAGGCTCAGGGAAGAGCAGTCAGGCCAGGCCTCACAAGGCCAGGAGTGAAGAGCAGCCTTTGATAATGAGGAGGTGTTAATGACAGACATGGGCACTTCCGAGGGAGTCAGGGCAAGCTGGTGGGGGCAGTGAGGGTGAGTGGGCAGTGCAGAAACCCCGTACAGACTGAGAAGTGTGGCGGGGAAGGGAGGATGGTGATGGCCAGAGGGAGGTGAAGTGGAGAGTGGGACTTCTCAGAACGGGAGATCAGAGCAGGTATCTGTGAATGCAAAGAACCAGCAGGGTGGGGTGGGACTGGGAAGGGAGAAGAACTCCACCCCAGAAGGCGAGGGGGCAACTCCCACACTACGCGAGAAGGAAATGTGGGAGCGAGAGGATGTAGGTGTGTGGGGTTGGGGGGCTCACCTGAAGATGCGGTAGGGTGTGGTGAGGTCGAAGCTGCGCCGGTCCACTTCCTTCACGTTGCCCACACTCATGTCAATGAAGGTGATGCCAATGCCCAGGTGGTATTCCTGGCAGGTAGTTGGGAAGCAGTGAGAGAGGTAAGGGTGAGGCTTGGAGGGCAGGGCTCAAGGCTGGGGTGGGGGTAGGGGGTGGTACCTTAGGGACTAGAAAGTACCTAGAAAGGACACAGGGGAAGGCTCAGGAATCTGAGCATAAGTAAATGGGTCTGGGCTCGGGCCAGGTAGACAATGGGTAGGGGGCAAAGAAGCCAGGGTGGGGAATGAGGGGCGATGTTCAGGGACTAGGCAGGAGTGGGGGTCAGAACTAGGGGCCAGACGTAGGGGCAGGCAAGGGGCTGAGCTCAGTGCAAGGAGGGGTAAGGGGAAGGACAAATGGGGTCCAGGTCCAAGGTGGGCACAGGACAGGGCTGGGGACCAGGTGGGCATGAGGTGGGACTAAGGGACCAGGTGGGCATGGGGTGGGGATGAGGGACCAGGGTGGGCACAGAGCAGGGTTAAGGGATCAGGATGGGCACAGGGTAGGCTGAGGGACCAGGTGGGTACAGAGCAGGGCTGAGGGACCACGTGGGTACAGGGCAGGGCTGAAGGACCAGGTCAATAAGCTGGGGGGGGGGCGGTTTCAGTGGCCTGGCAGACCCCTTTGTACCTCCAGATTCCTGTAGAGCTGTACTTTGTCCCTGACCACGACCACATACAGTTTACTCTTGAAGCCACGTAGCTCCAGGCTGCCAGCGTGGTCAGGCAGCTCTGGGCCTCGAGCTCCCAGTAGACAGGCATCAGACAGCCGGGCCCGGGAACGCTGCCCAGCCATGGCCTGCTGCAGGGCCTGCATCCACTCCTTCCGCTCAGCTACAGGCGAAGGTTAGGGGGTGAGCCTGAGCTTGGCTTGGCAAGGAGTCCCTCAGGGTCCCCTGGCCCCAGGTTCCTTGGGCAACACCTCCACCAGGAAGCCCACCCAGACTGGCCCATCTATCACTCTGCCTGAGTTCCCTGACTTGGACAAGCTCAGGCTCCAATCCCAGCTGTGCCACTTACACTGGGCAAATCACTTCCCCTCTGTAAATGGGAATGTGCTGCATTCTGAGGACTCAAGGAGTGTCTCTAGCACAGAGCTTGTCACAGAGGGTGTCCCCTTCCCTTCCCCGCCTCACAAAGCTATGACTGCTCTGGGTTTGGCTGGGCAGGGGTAGGGGGGAACAGATGCACCGACTCCCTTCCCCCTTATCTGGCTACACCGCCAGTCTTCTCTTCCCCCCATAATCCTCCCCTCCCTATACTCCCCACTCCCCACCATCACTCTCTGCCCGAAAGGCAAACGTCCGGTTGTTCGTGATCACTTCGAACTTCTGGTCCCCGATGGCAGCCACGCGGGAGATGCAGGCCACAGGGACAAAACGCTTGGAGTAGGTGTCCTGGGGAACAGACAGGGGCTTTACTGGGGGTGTGGGAGTGAGGTCCCCAGAGGTCCAGCCCCTCTGACTCCCCTCAACCTCAGCTGAAATGAAGGCTGCAGCCCTGTTTCCCACAGGTGGTCAGGGACAGCCCCTACACTGACCCTGACCATGGCCCACCCTGGCCAATGGGCCAGGAGGACACGGTTCAAAGAGTTAGACTGGGATTCTGGCCAGGACTCATCTATGGAGGGATTTCACCCAGGTCCAGGTTTGGGGCTCAGTGTAGGGCTAGGCTCAGGTCAGGCTGGGGCGGGGGTCAGGCCAGGGACCAATGCAGGCCTCACCTTGTTACTATCGAAGTACTGCAGGTACTCAGCATCCAGTCTCACCCATCGCTTCTGATAGATATAAGATCTAGAGAGGGACAGGCAAAGGGACAAAAGAGCAGAGGACTGGGGATGAGGGGAGAAGCTCCAGGATCACCCCAACCCTCCCTGACAGCCATACACTTTAGGAACAGCCAGGTAAAGGCAGGAAAAATTCCAAATGGTCCCTGAGAAGAAAATGGACTTAACCTACAGCAAGAGCAACTAAAGTAGGACTGCCCAGTTACAAAGGTAATAAAACACAGGGCTGGTGGAGATAATAGGCAGTTACAGTTGGCCAGGAGGGAGAGCTGTTCAAACCACCTTGGCCCCTCTGGTTTTTGAAGCCATGATACCAGCACCCTGGATACTGCCCACCCCCGTGCAGACTACCATCAGGACCCAACAGGCCTCACTCACCCCTGTGGTGGGTTCTTGTCCAGCCAGCCAGCCTGGATGACCGGTGTGATAGGGGTGGTACCCCCAGACAGCTCGTCCATGGGGTGTGGTGGGAGCTCAGGGATCAGGGGGCTGCTGGGCAAGGGCAAGCTCAGGCTGCCAGTGTGCCATCCACTGCTAGGGGAAGAGGAGAGAGAATGAGGGCATCTAGGGCCATGTGGTCATTCCCAGGGGCCAGGGCAGGGGCATGGGATAGGGGCTGAGGAGATGAGAGGGCAGGGGCTGGGCTGGGCTTTGGGAAGGAGGATGGCTTGGTGGGTGAGCCACACAGGAGTGGACACTCACTTGAGGATGCCCTTGTAGGCGTGGTCATCCTCATCCTCATCCCCTTGGTCGTCCCCCGACAGTTCTTCCCCCTCGCTCAGCAGACTGGCCACACGCACGGCCCGTGGGACTCGGCTTGGTGGGGGCTCCTCCTGCCCCTCCCAGACCCATTCAGCGTCATGCTCTCCTCAAGCCCCGGATCACACACACCCAGAGGCTACCGCACCCTCCTCTGTCCACTCCACCCCCAGCCCAGACAACTCAGCACTTTTACTTCTGTTTCCTCACACACACCACCTCCCCTGTACCACACCCCCACAACAGAAGCCACACAGGGACCCAGAGAGGCAAGGTCCCAGGGACAGAAAGAATCAGTGGCAGACACAGAACTAGGACAGAGACAAAGAAAGATAAAGGGATCAAGAAAGAGACTCAGGAATAGAGAGACAAGACACTCAGAGAGAGAGAGTGACATCGGAACACAGAAAGTGAAACAGAAACAGCCAGAGAGATGGGCAAACACTCCAGGACAGATGTACTCAGAAAACAGGGGAGGGGGCACACACATCCAGATGTAGCCAAAGACTGGAGCCGGAACCACAGACCAGAGCCCCCAGACCCCTGGCCCAAAGTTCTGTGGCTATGCTTGACCCCTGACCCCTGTTTGGCCAGACAATGAAGTGGGGGAGGGGAACCCTCCTGGGAAATGGCTACCCCTCCCGCCCTTCTCTCTTTGGCAATCCTCAGGATGGGGGCCCTGGAGCAACCCCTGAGCCCCCAAGGTCTGAAAGGGAGCTGGGCAGCCCTCCCTCCCTCCCAAAAAGCAGACAGACAGACGAATCCCTAACCACTGCCCTGCCCCACCTTCTTAGTCATCACGCTGGCTGGGGCCCCCGGCCCCTGCTCTGGGACCTCATCGTAGTCAGAGTCATCTGGGGAGAAACAGGGGTGGGGGGAGACTCAGAAACTAGGAGCCTGGCCTCCTCTCCTGGGACACCTAAGCCTAGCTTCACAAGGCCACCACCCGTAGCCCAAGAAAGACCCCCACCCCGACCCAGGCCTGGCTTTCAAAAAAGGCACAGGGGACAGGAAGTGTTATTTATATCCTCAGGGCCATGTGGGACGGCACTAAGGGGCAGACAGAGGAGAGACCGGCTACCAGAAGGAGGTCTGACCTCGGGGGGCAGGGGTGGGGAATGCCCAAAAAAGGCTAAAAAAAAAGCAAGACAATCAGACAATTGAGAGAAGTAGACAACCCCAAGAAAAGCAAACCACCCACGACCATGGAAAATATTTCCCAACTTTAAACCATGGGTAACTCAGAAAGTGCCATGTCCCCACACTTCAGTCAGGAGGTCAAACAGATGGTGCTGTCTCCATTTTGAGGATGAAAACAATGATGCTCTGAGAGGCTGAATGACTTGCCCACGGTCACACAGTGGGCAGGTGGCATGGCCAGAATCTGGCTCAGGTGTTGAACAATGACCCAGTGTCTGGGCCTGGATCCCCAAGGACCTACCCAGGGCCCCATCCTCTCCCTGCCTGTGGTACTCACCAAACTCTGGGGGCAGTCGTAGAGGCTTCGGGGGAATCTCAGGTGGACTGGGAGGTGGAGAGGGGGGCTGGGGAGGCCCCCGGGGGAGGGTGGATGGGGGCTCCTTAGGCTCTGGCTGGGGAGATGACAGTGATGGCAGCAATACCTCTTCCTCCTTGGAAGGAAGGCTGGGAACAGAACAAAAGTTGGGCACCAAGAGGTTAGCTCAGTGTGGCTAAGTCACTGGGCCAGCGTCACACAGCTAGTAAGCAACAGAGCCGGGACTCAAATCCACTGAGCTCCCAGCTCACCTGAGCTGCAGCGAAACTGCAGACAGGAGCCTTCCTACATGCAGCCCTCACTCCCCTACCCAGCGCCCTTCCTAGCTCCCCAAAGCCTAACGAAGCAAGCACCCTCTTTGGCCTGCATGAGCTGGCTGTGTGTTGTTGTGACAAGGTCACCTGTGCCCAGTGCTCTAGCCACATGTACCCACTGGCCTGTGCTCTTGAGGACAGATAAAGACCAAAACTGAGGGGGGAACCCCAGCTGGGGCAGTCAGGGAAGGCTTCCTGGAGGAGGTGAGGCTTGAACTGTGCTTTCAAGGGTAAGAAGGCATTAGTTGGCAAAGGGTGTTGAGTAGGATTGAAATGGGCATTGAGGCCAAAGGCATAAACTAGAGCCTTAGAAACCAACTCCTGAGGCCCTGAGTTATGGGTTTCTGGCTCAAGACCACCTTCTCCCTTGCCTCAGACTTGGATATTCGCCACCTCCTGTGTGCTCCTCAGACTCTCAGATCTTTCAAACTCACTTCATCCCACCACACTCCTCTTCCACAACACGGCTCTTCATGCCTGCTACCACTCCCACCAGGACGCCTTCCCTGGCTCTGAGGCCAGGCTCTGGGCCCCCCAGACCCCTAGCCATGGTGTTCCTTTCTGTCACACTGCTCCCTGCAGGCAGAGTATCTCCTGAAGGGCTTTGACATCAGGGACTTGGCCTCTTAGTTCCTGTGTGTCCTGGGGCAAGCACCTAGCCTCTCTGGGCCTCGGTTTCCTCTTCTGTAAAATGGGGACTATATTACCAACCTGGCCAGGTGGCTAGAGGATTAACCAAGACAAGGCATGTCATGTACCTGGCCACACGATGCTCAGGGACCACCAGCAGAGCCCTGGAGGCCTGGCCCCGCCTACTGTCCCTGCCAGTGTCCCACAGGAGCCAAGCAGGAGCATCAGAGAGGGCAGTAACTTCTCCCACTGGTTATTTTCACCTGGGGCTGTTACCCAACATTCCTGGCAGTGATTGACAGTGTGTGACTACCATGAAAGCAAGCAAGAGTGGGGTGTGAGCAGTGGGGTTTGCTGGGCATGATCATCGGGCCAGGCTTTGCACCTGCTCTTGTCTCCACCAGGAATACTCTTCTCCCTGTTCTCTCTCTAGGGAACATCCACTCATCCTTTAACTCCAAACTCAAGTCTGCCTTCTCTGAAAGCCTTCCCTGACCTGCCTCCCTCTATGCTCCCCACGCCCCTGGCCATGCTTCCCTCCATTGTGAGCTTTGTATAGAGGATTAAAAACAAAAACCAGTTGCCGTCAAGTTAATTCCAACTTATGACGTCCCCAGGTACAGAGTAGAACTGCTCCACGGAGTTTTCAAGGCTGTGACCTTTCAGAAGCAGATGACCAGGCCTTTCTTCCATTCGAACCACTAACCTTTTGGTTAGTAGTCGTGTGCTTAATCATTTGCTCCACCCAGGGGTCCTACAAAGGATTCCAGATAACTTTTTTAAGCATCTCTTTTGGGCCAAGATTTGAATTCTGTCTTCTGACTCCACAGTCTATGTGCTTTTTAGGGCCCATGGCTAGTTCCATCTCACTATAATTGTCTCTCCATGTATGGGATAAAGGGTTACCAAACCCTTCCCCTTCTGTGTAAGAACCTGGCCTTCGGGTAGCTTTCTAGCTCTGTTCCCCTAGAAACTTGCCACAGGAGGTATATCAACCATGTTACTAGGCAACACTGCCTTTGGTAAAAACAGCCTGACTGGGGATCTGCATCTAGACTGGGAGAAACTATAAACGAAACTCTACACCTGAGGGAGAAGTCATAGCTTTGGGCTTCCCTGAGGGTGGTGACTTGTAACTGGGCATGTCCCTTGCAGGGACCTGAAACCAGGCCAGTGAAGTTCTTGTAAGAGACACTGGCTCCTTGGGGCAAGAGGTTTCTAAGCCAGGGTGGCTCCTACACCTGTCCACTTGAGAGTTTCATTCCTTTACCCCTGTGATGTCACCTGGGGGCCACAGAGAATGCTCCTGGATGGCTGTGTGGACTGTGGCATGAACTGCTATGAGGACTCCCACAGAAAAGGATACCTGACATGGCCCTACTATCAAGCTGTTTCCACCCTAACTACTTCTAAGGGAAATCTGATGCCAAGTGTAGCCTATGGTAGTCTTGAGGGTCTGAATGTTTAGCAGGACCTAAGAAGACCCCCTGGCAGGCATTGCACCAGGCAGTCTCCCCACTTGACCCTGAGACTCTTTAGGGTGGGGGCAGCATCTGACTTGACTTTATATCCCCACAACCCATCACAGGGCCTAGCTGATTCAGCAATAAGAGCATGTTAGATGGGTGGGTGGGTGGCTAGGTAGGCAACAAATGGAGGGAGGGGTGGGGGGGAGAGCGGGAGGGAGGGAGAGATGGATGGATGGATGGATGGATGGATACATGGATGGGTGAGTGGGTGGGTAGATGGTTGGATAGGTGGATGGATGGATGGGTGCATGCATGCATGCATGGTTAGGTAGATGGGTGGGTAGGCAGACAAAATGACAGATGATCGGTGAGTGGGTAGGTAGGCGGGTGGGTGGGTGGACAAGTAGATAGGTAGGCAGGTGGGTGGGTAGGTGGGTGGATGGGTGGGTGGGTGGATAGGTTGATATTTAGGACTGGGAGGAAAGTAAATGAAAGGGTGAATGATAACGAAGTGGCTGAGCACCCGTAGACCCAAGAATATGACCTGGACAAATCCATGCCTGGGAGTTGGCCCAGCTGGTCAGGTGCAATGTCCTTGGGAACTTGTTGACAAGCAAATCAATCCATTGCACTGCTGCCTCCCAGAGCTCAAGAGGAAGGGGCCTTTGGGAGCCAGGCCTGTGATCAGCTAGGAGCAGAACCTCAAGCTTCCTCGGCAGGGCCAGACTGTGGTCTAGAGGAGGTGAGAACAGCCTCTGTCCCTCCAATGCCAAGCAGGGCTGAGGGGCCTAGCTCCCAAAGCTCCCCAGGGCTGGGCCATGGCTGAGGGAGAGGTGGTGGCAAAAGAGCAAAATCTGCCCACCTGCTCCTCCTCATCCTCAGGGTCCAAGCAGCATCAACCCTCCCACCTGGGGCACCTCAGTCCATGCCCCAATCACTGTCCTCATCATCCTGGGAGGTGTCTGTTTATCCTGAATCCTGCCTCCCTAGCCTGTGGGCTCCTTGAGGCAAGCTCCACACCCATCTTGTTCGCTTGTATCCCCAGCACTCAGTGGGAGTTTATAAATAAATATCTGAATTAATTAATCCTTATTAATTAACAATAGTTATAAATAGACGAATACCTAGATCAATTAATTTTTATTAATTAATAAGTCACATAACTATTATTCATCCATTATGCAACTATTATTAAGAATAAATTAACGCAGGAATTCATTTATTTATAAATCCCTGCTGAGTAAAGTCCCCAGGTGGTGCAAATGGTTTGTGCTTGACTGCTAGGGAAAAAGTCGGCAGTCTGAACCCACCCAGCAGCATCACAGAAGAAAGGCCTGGTGATCTGCTTCCATAAGGATTACTGCTCTAAAAACCCCATGGAATGGTTCTACTCTGTAACACATGGAGTCACTATGAGTCAAAATTGACTTGTCAGCAACAGGTTTTGTTTTGTTTTATATGATTTATTCATTTACCCATCACAAAGGATCTGTAAGAATTATTATTATCCTCACTTTACAAATCAAGAAACTGAGGCAAAAAGTCACTAAGTAATTTGTCCATGGTCCCAAAGCTAGATTTGAACCCAGGTGGTCCAGCACCACAGCTGCAAGCTCAACCACCAGCAATGAATGAGGCTATGGCCAGGATCTGAGAGCTTCTCTGATGACAGCATCCTCACACGGGCCACGTGGGCTCGGGATCTAGGCCACTCTGGAGCTGACATTCTGTCCAGGAGGGGATGCGATCACAGCTCTGACGGGTTGGTGACTGTGGCAAGAAGGGCAAACTGATGCAAAGGACTCCTCTCCCAGCACAGCCTTCCCAGGAAAAAGACTGTCCCAAGAAGTAGGATCATAAGCCTCTGGGCCCCACTCTAGCCGCTTCCCCCAGGAAGCCTCCTGGCTGACTTCAGCCTGTCTACTGCAGGGGATCGAATCTTGCTGAGTAAGGGCCAGCCCCAGGAAAGAAGAAGTGGTATTGGGAAGGCACAGCATGTTGAAAAACCCCAGGGGAAGAAGCAGTGAAGACAGGGTCTCCAGAGTCCCCCTTCCTCACCCTACCAGAGCCCCAGCTCCTCAGTGCCTACTCTCCTGTTCCTTCAGCCCCTTTCTCCTCTATTCAGGTGACATGTGAACCCTTCTGCTCTGCCCCACTAGTCATACTTGATAGAGCTGAATTCCATAAATGCACACTCCCAGGATTTTGCACATGCTGCTCCTTCTACCCGGAGCACCCTCCCCTGTCTGACTCCTACTCCTCCTTCAAAACGGCCAAATCAGAATCACCCCTCCATTGCAAGCCTCCACGCCTAGGCTGGGCTGGGGTCTTGTTGGGGCTCCCCCAGTCTCCATGCCTCCCATCACTCAATATAGTTGTATCTGTTGATGTTTGCTTCACTGAGCTGACCTCAGAGGATCAAGGACCCAGGCCTACACCCCCTCCTGGAGTCAGAACCTTTCCCCCATGATGTCACACAGGCCTCAGAGGGATCCGGGCCCGATCTCAGCCCCTGGACTCCCGGCAGTGGGGCCAGGAGGCGTGGCCAGGCCCAGTGACCTGAGGACATCTCTCTCCTACCCTGACCTCCCCTTTCCACAGGGACAAACTTTCCCAGCTGCCCACTTCCTCATTTGTGCCCTGGCCTGCTCGCGGGCCTGGGCCTCAGTCCTTGCCTATTGCTTCCTCCATGGCTGTCCCTGCCCTTCCTCCTCC